ACAAAAAGGCCTGTGGTTCTTTAGCTAAGGCCACAAACAATTCAAAGGAAGTTTTCCTGCAGCAAAGAATGCTATCAATTTGAACCAAGGCCACAAACAGGATTTTAAATGTGGGGATTGAGCAATGGAGTGTTTTTTTTAGTGTTATAGCAGAGAGTACTATCACTTCAATGCAGATATGGCTATGAGACCACTCTCCTGGTGAGGATGGGAATAATAGGTATGCAGAGACCAAGACACTTGTGCTACAATGCATGGAGATCTATTTGCATGTTGTGAAGAGGCGAGCTGCTCACAAGATCCAGGCACATATCTTGCCTGGATCACATTACACTTGACAATGTCTGTCTGTGCTTCAAGAAGGATCTCAATAACCGTTTGAAGTAGAGACATGATTTATACCTCATTGGAAAGGTTGTGCACCTAAGAGTGACATGGTAATATTTTTGGGTATCTCCTATCCTTCTTGAGTTATTTTCAGTTTTGCATTTTTTCACTGCAGTTACACCTGGTTTGCCGTTGAGTCAAATTGGCACTGTGGCATCATGCATCACAGAGCACTTACATATGAACGCACATACTGCAGTTACACCTGGTGGCCTCGCCGGCTGACCATGGCGCTGTGGAATCCTGCATCACAGAGCATGCTCATAGCCAAGCGGCGTGAAAAAAATAAAGAACACAGACAAAGCTAAGCCACAGCAACAACAACAAAGTTACATTTTTAAAGCACCGAGTCCTCCCACAGGAGCCCTCCCAGATGACTACGGATAAAGATTAAATGTCTGTCTGTGTGTCAATCGATATTCCATATTGGAACCTTTGGTTGCAAGCATAGCTGCAACGGGTACAGCTAGTGTATATATCAATGCATAGTGCCTGGCTGGCTCAGTTACTTATCTCTGAGCCAGAAAGCTGTGGGTTCACGCCCCATGCCAGGACTTTAAACTTGTCTAGGCTAGGGTTGTCCAATTCATTAGCCACTCAGCCAGCACGTATGGTGAATTGGGAATCCAGATGCGGTTAAATTGCATTTTTGATTAGTAAATAAAAAATTTGTAACCGACATCATCATCATTGGGCATGTGATCCCAATACTCAAGTTCTCACAGTGTTTGCATGTGTACTTTGACCTTTTTGTGCATTTGTTGGTAAAATGGTAAGACAAAAAGCAGCGTGTTCAAGTGTTTTGGGATTATTGTGTTTCCTTTACTTGCTTGGTTACTATTTATTCTTTAACTGCTGAAACGGTGTGTAACACAAGTGAAAACGCTGGATTTCAGCACCATGGAAACACCAGCAATATTGTACGGAGAGGGGAGATGTCAATTGTTGTCAGCTCCACCGATTGGAATAATGACTCCAGCAGAAAAAAGCAAGCCCAGACAATAACAAGCAGCTCCAACAGCACATGTCACAGCAAAGGGCAAGCAGCATCCAACTGCATTCTGAATGGAGAGCAGGGATAGTCCTTCTCTGAAGTGCATGTGTGCATTATTCCACTTCTTTTTGCTTACTTTAATGCCACAACAAACATTTTCCTTTCCAGTTGTGCAAGCTCCCAGGTCCCCACCATTGGTGGCTATGATTAATTACCTTGATGCAGCATTTAGTTTAGGTGAAGAAAGTATTGTTCTAGGCATGATTTAGTCGGTTCTTTCTCAAGCCCTTTTAGGCCCTGCATTTTTTTTTAAAAATTATTTGCGCTCAGAGATGTAATCCAATGTGAGGATGCTATATAAATGAAAATTGTTGTTGTTGATTATACACACAATTCACTCCAAAAGTTTAAAAACCTTGGTAAACTCCCCACTTACACATCCAGTTGGAGACCCCAGGAATTCACCTCTCCAGCATCGTAATATAACTACACCAGACTGTTTCATACAGTATCACAATGAGCTATCGATGCAGTGTTCAAAAAGTCTGCCAGTATTTGTATTTTATATGAGACAAACATGTGATCAGGAACAAATTTACTGTTGAAATAGTACATTAAATTTTAATACCAAATGTGCAAATGTACCAAATGTATATCAGAAAAGCTGACAGGAAAGTGTTAAGGGTAAGAAATAAGTCATTGACTTACATTTTCCCCCATGGTTTGCTTTCGTTCATTTCTGCCCACTCTTGTATACAAAGCATTTGTCACAATCTGACAGCAGCGTATATTATGATTAGGAATTTAATTTATCGGCTTAGTTAATTAACATTCAAGCAACAGCCAATTTGGCTGGTATATGTTAATCATTTCAGAAACAAGAGAAATCTTTTGCAGAAATTAACTATATGGTGTGTTTTAACATGAGCGGTGTTTAGTGCAGGTTCTATTTTAGCATGAGATGTGTACTGTTACTCTCTTGAGAGAGAGCCCTGGCTGGAAGAATCCACTGTTTATTCCTTATCTAAGGTAGCCAAAGCATGGGACTTCCAGCCAAAAGAGACATGAGTACAAATTACAACAGTGGGTGAACCGTTGAGTGTACAGGGAGTGTTGGCCGGTTATTTAACTGGTGGGGGTAGGAGAGCCATTTTAGCTAAGCCCCAATCCTGCTCTCACTCATCACTATATATATCTACCTATATGGATATACCTATGGGGTAGTGTCTCTGAGCGCAAGGAAACAATTCTTAAAAATGCTAGATTTGATCAAACTGGGATTTAAATCTAAATCTTCAGTGGGTTCAATTATCCGTTACATAGGAAAATGTGATTGATTTGTGCCTTGGTTATTCAACATCTATGGGATGTTGTTTGCACTGGGAATTACTGATTTTTCCTTCCCTTGCTTACCAGCAAAAGACAAGGAGGTTTAAATGAAAGACTTCAAACTAGATTCCTTCATTGAAGAATCCAAATGTGGATTCCTTTCAGTAACCATAAGCATTTTATCCAGATTTGTGGATATACTCTCCAATGCGATTTACATTCAGAGCAGAGTATCTGCAATTCAGTGTGACATAGTTTGGGTTCCTATGGGATGTTATTTAAAATCACTGTTTTAGACTCCAAGACAAATCTATTAGGAGACGGGCAGCCCAGGTTTCACAGAGTAACTGAAAGAACCCTGTTAAAATACAACCATTAGTGTATGGGTGATCTGTTTCCTCTTCCTGCACTTTTGGTCTCCACTTGACAACTGTCCAAGGTGGAATGATTGATGCAGGAGACTACTGTGCTGGTTATTGCATCCACAGCTATGGTACTGTATATTGTGTTGTAGCTTTCCCGAGAGTAGTCTTCTGTCATTAGTTCAATCATGAAACTACTTCTTGCAGATCGTTTAGTAGCTGGGCTCAGAATCCAATCATTATCCCTAAACTTTGATGTACACAGCATTTTGGCATCAATTTGCTATATGTGCAGTAGAACTAGTGCATTAATGTAGCACTTTCTTTCTACATCCAAATTTATCTCCAAAATCTTATCTCTTTCCATTACTATACTCAGCGCTGTTTTGTACTGAAGGAGCCAGTGATGGATGGCATTGTTATAATGCAGGTAAATGGTACTGTTATCATGAGGAGGTGATGGCCCTGTTATAACACAGGAAGAAGGCACTGTTATCATGAAGAAACTATGGCACTGTTATCATGAGGATATTATGGCACTGCTATAATGTGGAAAATTACACTATTATAATGCAGAAAGATGACACTGTTGTGTGAATACGTGCCACTATTATACTGCAGGTTGATTGAGACCCCTCGCACACCCTTTCACTGTTCTGCTGACTGCAATCTCTAACTGTGCACAATGTGAAGATAAAACAGGCAATGAATTTCAGAAATTGTGTTGTAAGTTCCAAGCACTGCATTAGGTAATCTCATGCAGTGTTTGAAACTATTTTTGCTGGAACAGAAACACGGTAATGTTTCTGTTTTTTGTAAAGCTGTGGAGGAGGAATATAATAATTGGAATTTAAATCATTCTGTCCAGGTGAAATGTTTCATTGTTTTCATGCACAAACCTCTCATTACTGTTGCTACATCAGTGCAGTTTGTTGTTCAGCTTCATTAAATATAGAAAACCTTCAAATTTACTTTTGTTTTAGTAAAGCAAGAAATAAAAATTGACACTGATGCAATCCCAAAGTAAACTGGGAGTGTGTTGGAGGTAATAATAATATAATAATCCTTAATTTTTTTAAAACACCTTTAAAATCCTTTAATCAAGTGAATGATTAATGGGGAATTGTTGGCCAGTATACTGAGAGAATCTCCATTCTCTTGAATGTGCCAGAGGATCTTTTACGTTCACTTGAACAGGTGGCATATTTGAAAATGCAACACTCCCCCAAACTTTGCAATAGAATGTCAGACTACAGCATTAAAGGCTTAACAAAAGGTTTGAAACGATCTTCTAACTCAGAGGCGAGAGTATTACCAACAGAGCCAGTGAACATGGTGTGGAGGACAAAGCTGGGGAATTCTCTTGGGAACAGAATTGATGGGCCACTAGACTTTGGTTCACTCCTCCCTGTCTATAAAACTGCATGTAGCATCACCTGAATGTCAACTTGTTCATGTTGTAGGACCTAAGTCAGTGATTTTGATTTACAAAATATAAATGTAAAGGGTATTGATTTCTTATGGTCAGGAACCAGTGTTATTCATCTTTAATTTCCCACTATCCTACTGGGGAGAGGGGGAAGTTAATATAGCTGAGCTGATTCCAAGTTGTGTGTTTTGCAACACATTATTGGAATCGAGTCAATTCTCTGTTGCCATCTTGGTAATACTCCAATATAGAGTCTGGATCTTGAGCCTAATACTTCTGGAATTAGGCAAGCAGCGTGCATCCCTCTGAGGGGAGAGAATATAGACACCAGTCTGGGCAAAGGAATTTTTTGGATGCTCTTAAGTACAGTGATAGGTTTCTGCATGTGTCCAACGCCTGGCTAAGCAATTCTATCACATTTCGTCACAGCTATGATAAAGTGGGTTTCCAAGTATATCACAAATGGTAATTGTTCAACAACAGTTCGAGAAATTACAAGTCATCATAAAGCATTCAATTTTATGGACAAAATACAACTATTTAACAGTTAAAGTGTTTTGCTTTTCCGAATGAAATAAGTTTACAATTGTCACAGATTGCATTCCACAAAACGTAACCGTCCATTTTATTTGCACTCATGTAGGCCATGTGTATTTCTATCACAGAACTTCAAGTGGACAAGGGGTCTAATTTGCAGTATTCCTTAATGGGATTCCTTAATAATGAACTCATTAGATTTTCCATTGACCTGCAGGCATTCCACTCTGAATGTTGACCTGCCAAATTGGAGCTCACAGCATGCTATATTGCTGGTTACCAGGAATACCCCACTTGCACGGTCCAATTCCTTACATAGGAATCCCATTGAGAAATAAGAGCCTGCATTTATATAGAGCCTTTCATGTATAATACACATACTGAAGCGCATTACAAAATATGATTGAATAAAATTAAAGCTGGTATACAGGCATCATTGCAATCAATCTAAGCCATCAACTTTACCTACAATGAGATGAGTGGTTAATAAATTTGAATTTGGGGGGAAACCTCTGGAATTTCCTGCCTCTATCCTGCTGTTTTATCCCCTCTCCACCTATCTTTAAATCCCACCTTAAAACCTATCTCTTCAACTGCCCCTATGGTTACCAAACCCTCTCCCTTCCTACCTGCTCAGCATCCAACCCTAGCACTGTGTTCTGAGATATTATGCAAGACAGAAAAAAATCAAGAGGAAGATTAAATTTCTTAGAAACACCATAAATTAGGCCAGTGCTTAGTTTATGCTGCTACAAGTGAAGCAATGTATGGTGAAGAGACAAGAAGTACTAAACCCAATTTATACTTCACTCTCCTAATTGTACTGGTCAGGGAGGGCTGAGGAGAAATCTGTGCATTCGCACAGAAGTTCGTGTGTTGGTCTCCGATATCCAACATTGGGTTTTTGATGTTCCTTGGGGGGTTCTTAAGAAACCATTTCTGAGGAAGCCTGAATTGACTTACTTCTTGCTTTAAACTACAGTGGCATGAAGTGACATGCTGCTGCAAACAAACCTGCACAAGATGAGATCAGACAAGCAAACTCCAGCATAATTTGCTTTCAGATTGCACTGCTCAACCCCATTGTATCCTAAGTGTAAACCGGCATTTCTCCAGTACTCAAGTTCATCCTTTACATTTGAATGAATTGAATGAACTATAAGAGAGCTCTACTGTCTCATTGTGCTTATTATCTATGTCAGGGACGACCAACTTACAGCCCATGGGTTGCATTACTCGTACATATAATAGTCACTCAGGCCGCAAGCTTGGCCAACCCTAATCTATCTTACTAACCCTAACCCAATATTATATTAGGTTGTGCACATCAATATAATTTATTTGTTCCTTTCAAAAAATATAAAAGTATGGTGCTATTTCTAGATTTGGAATGCTGCCTTGTTGAGTTAATGTCCTTTGAAAAAGGTGATCTTGTGTAAAGTTCAGTCCATTCCTCATTTCCAACAGCTGCTATCTGCTTGAAGGTTCATGGAGAAGCGCAATTCTTCTCGAGACCTTGGAAGATACTTTGTTGGTCTCAGCATCGATATTCCCTGAGATAAAAGGAGAAAAGGAGAAATGCTGAAGCCTGCTGGGAAATTCATATTATTCTGTGTCTTACCTGTTAAAAAGGATGCCTTTTGCATTTCAATGTACACCTCAGCATTTGTTAGTGTTACATTAATGAGATAAAATGTAGCAGTGAAACTTGCAACAAAGTGATGTGATAATAATCACTGATAATTTTTATATTGTTGATAAATGTGGTTGATGCAGTGAGTTACTTAAGATTAGGTGTGTCCCTCTGACTGGTCAACACTATGATAATTATCAATGACGATAATGAACATGTCATGCATCACTATTTTCACCCTGTGGTGTGAATAAGCACGATGAACATTTTAGTTACTATTGCTGATCATTCCTAAATCAATCTGCAATTGCCAAATTTATATATAAAAAAAAGTAAAGTTAAAGTCTCTTAGTACCTCACTGGATTGACGTTCAAATTCCTACACAATCTTGCTCCTCCCTACCTTTACAATTAACCCCTGCCCTATTCTCCTGGCCATACCCTCCGCTCTTCAAACACTGGACTCCTGCTTGTTCCTCACTCCTCCCATCTCACCTTCTGTGGTCGAGTCTTCAGCCACTACGCTCAGCTTGCTGGTTCTCTCCCAAAGTTCCTTCCTTGTACGCCCTCTCTCCCTATCTTCCAGACCCACTTAAATGGATTTTTTTTTTAAACCAGCCTTTGGCTGATGTGATGTGAGTTATTCTGGATTATTTGATTCCACGAGAAGCATTGCTGTCTGGTCTATCGCTATACTGAATTAACCTCTAGACTCCCAGTACTGTCACTGGTTGGGAGCAAAAATGTTGACTGATTTCTCCCCTTAAAACCTTGGAGACAATGGGGTCCAGTTTGTGCTATTTACAAAATATTTGCAAGTTTGAACATTCTTGATCAAAGAGAGCAGTCAGTGTTTTACAAAAGCCGTCAAAGTGAGAAAAAGGCCAGATAAAGGATGTGGGAAAAGCTGCTTTGCTTTTTGGTTGTTGTTTTTAAGTGATTTTGGCATTTAACAAATATACAGTCAATTCACTTTACAGCATATTCTGTGAAGCGCTTTGAGACGTCGAGAAGATGTGAAAAGCGCTATACCAAATGCAAGGATCATTATTATTATTATTATCCTGTGATTATGTAAATTAGAATCCACTGAGTCCAATGATAGCATTTCTCTACCACAAACTGTGGCTGAGACCAACCAATGAATACAGGTTTTGGATTGAAACTGGGATCTTCCTAGTCCGTACAGTTCAATGCCACACCACAAAGTGCAGACACAGAGTTATAATGGCTTAAAAACAGGTCATTTGACCCAACCAGCTGTGCTGGTGTTTATACTCCACACAAACCCCTACCACTCTGTACCCCTCTCCTATATCCCTCTATTTTCTTCTCCTTAATGCATACAGCAAATTTTCTCTGACACAACTTGAAAGTGTTTGCTTCAACCACTATTACTGTCAGTGAGTTCCACATTCTCACCACCCTCTATGTGTAAAAGCTCCTCCTAAACTCCTTATTGTATCTACTACTAGTTATCCACAGATCTTTGGGCGTGGGGCTGTGTTATCACCTGCCTAACATTAGTACAGCAATTTGGTGTCCGGTGACATCCTTGGATCAGATTCTTCAGTATGAATTTTTATGCAAAGTAAGTTGGTAGAAAAAACTTCAGAAAAATAACTGTTTGATAGCCAGAAATATGTTTGGTCAATCAAGGTTCTTAATGTTACAACCTTCAGAACAATTATTTATATGGAAAGTTCAGTGTTAAAAACAGAAGAATATGTTCAGGAAGGCCTGAACAGCACTTTTTGTATGGTTAAATCTATAGCTCTTTGTCAATCTCCTTTAAACCCAGACAACAAAAGTGAACTTGCATGCTTCCTGCACTGCAAGATGGTAAGTTTAACTCTCAAACCTATGGATAGGACCAAAATCAGACTGCTTATATTGAGTCAAACTACATTGACAGCAGATTCCCACAAATAAACTAGTGATCTGCAAATGACAAATCTAAAGAGGACAACTGACCATGCTTTTGGCCATCATTCTCCTTTCCATCTACCTCAGCTCCCACATGAAGTTCAGTGCTCAGGAGGTGCTTTTAAGTGCTTTGGGAAGCTCTCCCAAAAGGCACTATACAAATGTAAATTTGAATTGTATTGTAATAGAAAACCACAAAAGAGGTTCAAATAAAGAGGCCCTTTTGGACTATTTGATATCATCTTTCCCAATCTTATCATCATTCTGTTCCAAAGCATTTCTTAAATGAAATCAGCCCCCGTCTCTAACACCCTTCCTGATTCCCATTTCAACTACTAATTACTTCAGTGTAAACCACAGTGCAGCCCTGTTATAATGTGCTTCTTTATAGCACAAGTTTGGTATTGCACAATTGCACTGAGAACCCCCTTCACTGATACCTATCGTAAAATTGCCCTTCACAGCCCTGTACCTGTGCCCCCTTGTTCTCCTGCCTTAACATACTGGAAGTATGTTTAATTTCTTGGTTTAATTTCTTAATCCCTTAGTCATTTTATATATCTCTGTGATAACTCTTCCCAAGGCTGAACAGATTATTTATCTAATCACTTTTCCCTTATGACATGACAACCGGAGTACACAGTAATCCAGATACTGCTGGCCCAGAGTCCATTATTTTTCCGAAACTGCAGTACGACTAGGTTGGTCCTACATTTCATACATACCGTACATATTGGGGTGAGAGGAATATTCTCGGATTTGAATCATGGAGGAGTTGGTGGAACTGGAGTGCAACGAGTTGTTGGAAGCAGAGGACAATGACATCGCATGGACAATAGGCTGCAGTTTTTTTGTGTTATTTGTAGCTGTTCTGCTCCATTCTACAATATGTATAAAAATACGATTCACATACTGAATGTTCAATACAATATGGTGAACCCCAAGTTTGCGATCCTTTGAAAAGATTTGCCCAAACTCCTATCATTTAGCTATTGTTGATGATTTATGTTCATAATAATATAAGTGGAGGAAGCAGAATGCCCCTAATTTATACAAAGCTTCAAATAACCAGCTGGCTGCTTATCTCATTTCTAAGGATTACTGGATAATTGTCAAAATGCTGCCTTCCACGAGCACAAGGCAGTGGATTAATCTGTGATTATCTGTGAGGAAAAGAAGGCACTAAACTAGCTAACAGGCTGGGCTGGTAGAAAATAATCTCTCACTTCCATGGAATGGGCTATGACCATATTTATACTATTACTTAATGTAGCCATCAGTTTGAATTCAGATATTTCTTTATTTTGTTATATATTGCAATAGTATTTGTGTGATTCGCAAATGCATTAGTAAACAGCAAATGCCTGAATGTGTCTCTCTGGAACTTTGCTCGGACACTGGACTGTGACCTTAGTGTCTGGCAGACCTTAGTGTCTGGCAGTAGATCAGTTTCCAAGCAGAGTCTCAGATTCACAATTTCACTATTTACAAATTATTTTTGTAAATCTAAAAATTCAGATCTTACATGTAATTTACGAATTCAATCACGATGAACAATCATGGTCTGTTTTTTGCTAAGTTCATTTGCTTCTATCCACCTCTGGCCACCAAGGTTACTTACAACATGTGTCTCTATTTCACTTTTTATTTTTATTGAATTGTTCCTCACTGTCTTTTCCTGCCATTTAATTCCCTCTGTTAAATGGCAGGAAAGCCTATCATGTGATATGGAAACTGGTGGTTTCCAATGATATACATTCTAATGATATACTAAATGTTGTCAATTTATTGTTGATCACAGGCTTCCAAAGACCTGACATTCAATGTTATAGTCACATATAGAGTGGTCTCTGAATCTTATGTCAGGCTTAGTTTTTGGAGAACTCAGGATGAGCAACTACCTTTTCTATAAAAAGAGACCTACACATTGTCTTACTCATTGCTGACCAAACTGCAAAGAGCCCAGTTAGTCACTGGGGGGAAAGCCATTGTGAAATATTATCAAATACTCATTATCTCTGGAAGCAAATCATATAAATTTCAACTTTTTCTAGTAGATGAATCAGTTTGGGGAAAAAAATAATTTGACGGATGAAAAACCCAATGTGAAATCTCACTGAGTGCATTCCCCCCAGTTCCTGTGTCACAATATCTTACCTGAATTTTCAGGCAATCTGTATTTGCCACAGCACAAATACGTTCGCCATTGCTTCCGAACAGTTTCTTTAGCCACACAGTGAAAAACAAAGATAAAAAATCCTGCACAATAAAAAAAAGTCATTATTTCAGTACAGTGATCAGTCCAGTTATAATTGTAAATGAACTAGGGGCTTCCAATATATTTAACTTTGGTACCTAATAGTGACTACATCTATGAGCAGTAGTGCTCTGTTCTTTAGCATTCATATACACAGCAAACAGTAAAAGAAATTATGCAGTTAGATGCACTATACACTAAGAGTGATATTGCAAAAGCGAATTGCACGTTAAATGGATAGACATATAATAGAGTAAAATGCTGTCCATATCTCCAATAAACATTCTAACTCAAACCCAAAGAACAAAGAAATGTGCGAAACTTGGGCAATACAAGTAGTTTCCTGCAAAGGTTCATCCACCTAGCTATAAGGGCAACGTCTGAGAACGGTAGGAAGGAAGATGAGATGAATCAAGTTGTGATTTAGTGATGCCAAACTCGGGTTTTGAAAGTCTGTAGACTGTAGGAGGATGTTTTAAGGTCTGGAGAAGTATGACATTGTATAGGATATTGTGCAATAAATTTTGATTTCAACGTGGGCTGGCATATTTGGAGCTTAAGTGGAACAAGAGCAGAATGGTCAGAGCAGCAATGACACTAGCACTTCAATAAAGTGAGAGGATAAGACTTGCTCAAACAGAGAAAGTTCAAGCTGGCTGTTAAAGGTGAGTAATGACAAGGACATTTTGTATTCAGTCCAGTTTTAAACAAGAGAGGTAGCAAAAAAGGTTTACAACAAGAACAACAAGATTACATTTGTATAGCACCTTTCACGTCAAGAGGACGTTCCAAGGCGCTGGACAGAGTACAGCATTTCAGACCCGAGCTGGGGTTGGGGTGGGGGGGGGGGGAAGGGAGGGGAAGTGGGGTGGCCGATGGCATGGTTGAAGAGGAGGGTCTTGAGGTGGGACTTGAAGGAGGCTAAGGAGGGGGCGAGGCAGAGTGACTGGGGGATGGAATTCCAGAGGTTGGGGGCAGAGTGGCTGAAGGCTCTCCCGCCAATGGTGGGGTGGGTGGGTCGGGGGACGTGGAGCAGGACAGAGCCGCTGAGCGGAGGGAACGGGCGGGTTGGTAGGGGGTTAGGTAGGATGGGCGAGGCCATAGAGGGCTTTGTATGTGAGGACCAAGATCTTGAACTGGATCCTCTGAAGGATAGGGAGCCAATGGAGTCGGGCGAGAGTGGGGGAGATGGGGGTCACAGAGTTTGGTGCAGGAGAGGACACGGGCTGCAGAGTTCTGGATTATCTGCAGCCTGTGGAGGGAGGAGTTGGGAAGGCCGACAAGCAGGGCATTTGCATAGTCGAGCCTAGAGGTGATGAAGACATGAACAAGAGTTTCAGTGGCCTGAGGGGTGAGGTAGTGGCGGAGTCGGGTGATGTTACGGAGGTGAGGGAAGGCAGAGTGGGTCATGGCTTGAATGAGGGGGAGAAAAGCCAGTTGAGGGTCGAACAAGACACCTGGGTTGCTGACTGGCTGGTGAGTTGCAGTGTGCAACCATGGAGGTTGATGCTGCCAGAGCCTGAGGTGCTGAGGCGCTGGCACGAGCCAATCAGGAGGGCCTCAGTCTTGTTCACATTCAACTGTAGGAAATTTGCCCTCATCCAGGACTTGATGTCCGACAGGGAGTCTGTCAGGATAGCAGTGGTCCTGGAGTTGAGGATGGAGGCAGAAAGATAGAGTTGGGTGTCATCCGCATACATGTGGAAGTTGACCCCATGTCTGGGGATGATGTCACCAAGGGGGAGCATGATATTAAAGAGGAGAGGGCCAAGGACAGAGCCCTGGGGGACGCCAGATGTGACAGTGCAGGGGCTGGAGGAGAAACTATTAGAGGCAACGAAGTGGAGACAGTGAGAGAGATAGGAATCAAACCAGGCAAGGGCAGATCTTGTAAGATTTGAATAAATTATTCTGGATGTGCAAAGCTGGCGAGACCTTAGGATCGGTTCTGCTATTAATATTCCTTTATTCTTTAGCATTCTTACACAAGATTTCTTAAGTTTATGAAGTGTAGAAAGTGTGGTTAGTGGTGAGTGAAATTTTAATGCAGATATGAAATGGCAGCTGGATTTACCTCAGACCCTATGGGAGACTGGATGAAATCACTGCTTGTCAATAATGGGTTTGAGTACTAACCATGGTCTCAACTTGTGGCCAATGCAGAAATGCTGTGTTTATTGTATCCTCACTATTGTTTTCAACCTACTGTTCTGTCATTGCATTAAAACAAAATTCAGCCCGGTTCTTGGCTATGTTGCTACCTCCACCTGTCAAATCAGCTACAACAAACTCATTTTGTACTTGAATCAATTAAAAGTAAAATAGATGGCATTTATTATTAAAAATATATAGATATATGAATCAAACAAGTTTCAAATGTGAATTTGTTGCATCATTTCACAGCAATCAAATTATCAAAATAAAAAAAGAATGAGTTGAATTCACAGATGAGTCAACCACAATGGTAATCATGAAAAACAATTGATCAGCTAAAGCAACAGTAGTTAGTGTACCTTGGAGACTATTGAAGATGGTAAAGACATACGTAAATGCTTGGTTGACAGGCCCCCATGCAAAGAAGGCAAAGCCCCAGGTGATTCCCAATAAAAAGGTGAGGCCAGCCACACTCTTTATGTCTCGGAAAACATTCCTCTGCACATGCTGATGCTGTTTGTTCTGTTTTATTCGACAGAGCTGGATCATGACTACAATGAACATACTGATGTTCACCAGGAACATCAGACAGAAATAGGCCACCACAGCTACATAAAACACAATATCATTTTTGATCCAGCAGCTGGAATAGAGGAAAGCACAGATCAGGTTAGAATTTGTTCAGTGTACAAAAAAAAAACACTCTTTATGTTCTGTCCGTATATTCTACTGTGAGTCATCAATACATAAAACCAATTGTTAGAATAAGATTTTTTTTAAATTGATATATGATTTTTCAACTTTATAGGACAGCTTGACAGGACAGAGAATCAGCACAGAATGATCTGAGAGCTGAGTGTGTTAACTCCCTCTGTAAATAAAAAAGCATTAAAACATTTAAAATTGGTATGGGCAGATCCTAGTTGTAACTGTGAAATGAGGCAAAGGACTGTACAAGAAGTAAATATAGAACCCTAGGTATATGAGAATCAACAAAAATGTCTCATATAGGAAATGTGGTGTGGGTGGGGTGGGATGGGAGGTAACCATACTAATACAATGTTTTGTGGGGGCAGAATTTGGCAGAATTAAGTGCTCTAGGACGCTACCCCATGTGAAGGACGCTACATAAATGCAAGCTGTTGTTATTAAAGGAAGGTTCACTGTATTCCCCACATTATTTAACTATCTAGGAAGTAATTGATGCAGCAAGTGAGAAAAGGACTTTACTTGTTAGTCATCCAATACTTCATCTTTATGAGCAAAAAGTGCAATAAACATGGGGGAAGGGAGGGAAGGTGGTAAATGGAGTATGTTTTTAGAAAGCTGTCTGACCATTATATCAGTTTGTCTAAGATTATCCTTGTCAGATGAGCAGCAGGAAAACAACCAATATTTTATACTGAAAAACTACATGGTTTTAGCTGGTTCAATTCCAGTATTACCTCAGAGGACACTTTCTCAGAAACCTAATACCTTGGTTTCTGCCACCACAGATGTGTGTTTTTCAGATACAAAGAAATCATGGAGATGTTTACTGGATTTGTTACTACAGATTTAACTGTACTTAGTATAAATTGGGATAGGAGAATAGTTAACAAGAAATGCACTGTAAAATGATAGAAAAATGTTTCCATTACTATTTCCCTGAAATGAAATGCAGTAAAAATAAGTAAGTTAATTATTTCTCTGAGGATCTCACTTACAAAACATCCCAGGTGTCCTCTGTTCTTTTTCCATATTTTCCAAATCCATAGTTGTCTGGGCCAATAATGAGCACAATGGCAACCACCACAGCAGGAATGCCTATTTTGGACAAATAAAAAAATTCTCAGCAAGAAGGTTGCTTGCATTTACTGGTAATACAGATCTCATTCAGATGACCAAATTTAAATTTAATTCAATTACTGCAATTACAGAGGATTAAATTCCTTTGCAGTTCAGCACCCAAATAACCTGATAATACTCCACAAAGGGTTTTTATTTGTGGCTCTGCATTTCACCTGACTAAGTTTGCCAGGCTATGCTCTGCCTATTCCTTGCTTGTTGAAAGACATGGAATTGTGGACAAATTAGAGCCACTAATCACTGCTCCTTCAAAAGCTGATAGGTCATGGTTACAGATAAATGACATTGAACACAAATCCTTGTCATGTTGGTGCCCTGCAAAGGATTGTTGTAAGAGTATGAACTCTAATGTTTTTATGAACTCTACAATGTTTTTAATGTTAAGGGGGAAAAAGGAAACAAAATTGGTGTTTTGGACAAAGTTGAGTATTTGGCTCAGATAAAGAAATATATATGTATTCACAGGAGTACAGCATTTACCGCCCCCCACACCGCCCCACCCCCCCCCCCACTCCCGCCCGAGTAATAAGGGTAACAATATATAGATTTGCCTTAATTTTGAAAAATATTGAACATACTCACCCCAACCAGCAATGCAGAACTTCAGCATGTATTTGCGCACATAAGTATTAAATACTTTGACCAGGGCCAGGTACATGTGGAAGGCCTCAAGGCTCATCCAAGTGAAGGAAGCCAAAAGGAAATAATGAAGGAAGACAGCCACTGCAATGCATAGGCCGTTGACCTCATAGGCAGAAATCCAGGAATCAATGAGGAATACCATATTCAGGAACAGCAAGGCAGTGCAAAGGTTTATTAGGATTTTAGAGGGATAATCTCTGCGGAGTTTTCTGAAATAAAATAGAATAGTTATTAAGTAACAAGGTGCTCCTCCTAGAAATTAGCAATTCAATTTTTGGGATCTTGTATCCATCAATCTACATCCATGAAAGATATAAATGCTGCATTAGGGACTAAATTACAGCATGCCTAATACTAGGTCATATTCTGCATAGGATGCAGGTTAGGGATCAGTCATAAATTCTATACATGAAGCTACCTGGTAACTAAATAATCCAGGAATTGACTTGTGATAAATATAAAGCTAGGCAATTTTGAATTTTAATTTTGAAGCTGGTTTTCTGTAAGTTCTTTTAAGGACCCCCAAAAATAGACTAAATCTATGAAATTTCTACCCATTAAAGTTTTCTGCATACAGTTTTCCAAAAGAGCAAGAAGACTTACTCAAAGAAAATGTACGTCACCAGAGTGACTGACAGGAAAAGAGCTGAAATGCCACTGCCTATGTATGTAATGAAAGTGAGGATTTGGTCATCACTACCGCTTCTGGAAAGATCCTGAACAAAAAGAGAAAAAATTATTAGTGACAATTCAAGAATGACATTCACATTGTTAACTATAATGAAATAGGATTATCTAAAGGATGCTACCCTCAGGTCAAGTTCATAAAGGGTGATATATTGGTGATAATGGCAAACAAATCAGATGCTGTCCAGATATTTATGTGTTTATCTCAAACCTATTTAATAATAATAACCCTTACATTTGATATAGTGACTTTCGCATTGGGATGATGTGTGATGATATACTCTAAAGTGACTGGTATCATGTTGATCAATGCAGCAGACAATTTGTGCACAACATTGGGACACAAACAGCCATGAAGTGAATTTTATTTGGGGGATTGTTAGCCAGCGCACCAGGAGAAACCTTCTCTTTTTCAATACTGCCATGGAATCGTTAATGCCCACCAAAACAGACAGACAGTAATTTGGTTTAACATCTCATCCAAAGGACACCATCTCTAACAATGCAGCACAATCCCAGCACAACTGTAGTGAAGTGTGACCCCAGACTATATGAGGTCAAAGTCTCAACAAGGGATTTGAACCAACAACTTTCTGACTCAGAAACAAGAGTGCCAACACACAAATGAGCCAGGTTGACACACAAGTTCTGAAACCTTTGCTCTACAGCCACACCATTTGATGTACTCTCAAAATCCTAACATGACTCCTTTAATTTGAATCCTGGAATCACCAAAATTTCCCCCATATAGTCCACTGAGATCCATCAAAGGTAGTGGTCCAGTATTGAAGTTACACTACATTAGCTCCAAGAGAAGCCTGACCACCTCCTTCTGTGCTGTAATTTCTATAATTCTATTGTTGAGATATTAATCATCCTTACACTTCCATCATGGTCTCTAGCTTTACTCTATTTTTGTGGCATTTTGGAGAGACCAGAACTTGGCTAATGTTGAAAATAGCAATCATTTCAAACCAGTTCTTAAGATATTATCAGATATATCTCAGCTGATATAAAATTATGATCTGATTGCCCATTCAGGATATACAAACAATATAAAATCACATTAGTATACCGTCTTTCACATTGGGAGGACGTCGCAAGGCACTGGATAGTCAGGGATTTGGACCCGAGCTTGTGATTGGGATCAGGGAGAGTGAAGGGCAGAGAGGGTAGGAGGGTGGTCAAAGGCTCGGTCAAAGAGGAGGGTTTTGAGACATGACTTGAAGAAGGCAAGAGAGGGAGTATGGCAAAGGGAATGTAGGATAGGGGCAGAAAGGCTGAAATCCCGACCCCTGATGTTGCGGCAGACCAGGCGGGGGACGTGGAGCAGGCCAGAACTTGCTGAGCAGATGGAGCGGACAGATTGATATGGAGTTAGCAGGTCACAGAGGTAGGGAGGGGTAAAGCCATGGAGGCCTTGAAAGCGAGGACGAGGATTTTGAACTCCTCTGGGAGATGGGGAACCGATGAAGCCGGGTGAGGGTGATGGGGTCACAAAGTTTATCTGTTCTGTTTTGTAAAAAAAAATGAGCATGACTAGAAAACGCCTGTTAAGATGAAATGGTTTACGATTTTCAAACAATGCATTTTATATAGGACGATATCCTGGGAAAAGTGCCTGAGGGTGGAGGCATAGAGCCAGACAAAACCTTGGAACCCCAATCGCTAGCTATTTATTCCTAACAACCTAATTTCCTGTATTTTGAGAATGATGCTCGATATTGTACATTACATTTCACATTGGTCTAGGATGTTCCCATACCAATAAGACAGCAAAATTTGTGAGGTGATGGCATTCACATGTTGTCTGATTGACAGTTTTCTGAGCCACTGTGCAGCCATCCGCACTCCATCCACCCTGTCCACCTGCAAAGGTAAAAAGATGCATCATGACTGAGACCGCCACATATTAAAGCTCTGAAAGCTGAAGTCTTGCCTACTCAAAATGAATCACAGCAGCAAGGAGGGCTTTATTAAAAAAGAAAAAGAATATTGTGCTCCAAGGGAAAGAACTTACTACTGAGAAATGGAACTTTTTTTTATTTTAGCCTTAACCATTCTGAGATCAGGTGCAGCACAGTCAGGGCCACACAGAAAAAGTTCCCTCCCCTCTGTGTTTAAGTCTGACTGGAAAACAGTGCCATCTACTACTATATTGTTGTGACATCTTACACTTTGAGACTAGGTAATATTTGATCTTTGTTTGAGATTGCTAACTAAGAACAGTTCTATGCTGTAAGCCATAGTTACAAGAAACTGGGCTGAGACTTGCAACCAATATCGCAAAGGACCTTTTTACTGCATATTTGGGGACAAATCACCAATAATTTAGAACCAAAACTGGAAGTGTTAAACTGGGGATCTGGCATCATGAATATCCCACTCTGCTCTCACCTTAAGGAGATGGTATGAGGAACAGAGATTTGCAGCTACCCAGTGTAAATGAATAAATGACCAGACAATTTTTTTCATGCCATTAAAGTTTAGGTATATTTAATATCATTTTACAACAGTTCCAAATTTCAGAATTTTGATATGTGGCTTAGTTTTTTCATCTCACAATTCAAAGCAATCCAGTGCAGAAAGCAGAAGCTGGGTTCACCCACAGCAATAAAAACTTAGCCTTGATCAACGTCTTCAAAGTACTGAGAGGCACATATGATGTGATGCAGATGTAAGCAGCTTTTAATTTAGATTGTGAGAAGAGATCTACATAATAGTGTAAGGTTTAAAATTTAGAAGCCCCAAGAAGGCTTTGATTCTTCATTTCATTTTATATCCACAGAGTAATGGATAGGTTGGGCAGACTTTGTTTGATGGACTGAAAGGTGTTTCTTGTACCATGCTTTTCCAGTGAACATTTTCCAGCAAGAATGACTAAATAGCGAAGGAGCAGGAAGCTTGATTGATTCATCACTTGTTCCATGAGGTAGTGAGCATCCATGTAGGTTGATGCAGTCAGTTATTGCTATTGCTATCAACATTATTGTAGCAAGCGACTACAGGCTAGTTAGAGGCGAACAAGATGGACATTGGTCTTTTTTCGTCCAGTAATTGCTATGTTCCTATGTTCTCCTTCTCAACAGCCTTGGAGCAATGACACCAATTGTAACTAACTCTCTGAGTACTGTGTCTCCCGAGATCATTTAACTCAGGACAAATCGAGATGGAATCTGAGAACTTCTGGGTTTGTACCACTCAGCTTCACATGGGAAGTGGTTTGACTATTTGGATCAATATTTTCATTTAATATTCAAAGGATTGAGTATGTTTGGCTCCCAGAAACAGGAATATTTTGAATGTAAATATTAAATATTCAAATACAGAATAAAATACTTACTATTTTTATCAAAGTCCCAGAAAACACATTGGACGTCAGAATTATTCTGAAATCAAATAGAACCATCATAAATCACGTGGACTCATACACTGTCATTGCAGTGGGGGCGGGGGGGAACACATAAAGATTGTTGAATTTGGGTTTAACAGTCATGATGTTACTTTATAATGGAGGTTAACTAATATCTACTGAATGATCCCACTTATGGATGTATCCAGTTTATGAGGTGCAAGGAGCAGTTTAAATTCCTAAAGTTTCACATAGATGAATGGAGCTGAGGCAGACACCTCCGAACACCATTCTTAACATCAATGTCTGTTAAACCGAGTCATGCATTAATCTTTTTCTTACATATTCAATTCACTAGATAGCAGATCATTCTGAGGTTTTGTTTATTTGCAAAGCTGCAACCCTGCTAACCACCAGTCTTATGCTTGAGCTGAAAGACCGATGTGCAATAGCTTCATCTGGCATCAGAGCCCAGTAATTGTGAATTCTTAATATGGAAGTGGTTCCCCATAATTCTTCATAAGATTCTAACTCTTTTGAAGAACTCCTGAAAATTTTGACTTCCAATTTAACAATTTAGCTGAATTTAACAAATTTACAAAACAAAATTCTACATAATCTTAAATTTTAAGCCAATGGTCTTAAGATCAAGAAGAAATTAAGTCCCTAGTGCCAAGTACTCTTGTGAATTACTTTAGACCAGAAACCAAGTACCTCTGTATCTCAAAGAGAAAATCTAGAACAAAACAATACCTCATTGAACTGAAGGTTTCTCAATGTGACTCTGACTGGATTCACCAAGTTCTGGACACTGAGGTTCGCTACACTGGACGCAATGATATAACTGTTCAAGATAGATGTTTCTGAAAGACTAGCATCCTGAAAAATAAATAAAATTGTGGTTATTTACACAGGCATAATAGATGGCAGTATTCCCTCCCAGGAAGGGGAATATTTATCTTTAGACTTGGATTGTGACCATTGATGTTCTTTCTGAAGCAAAGCTGAGTGCCATTTAAATTTTGGATACTAATGTGGCTTTTAAGTTATTATGTTTGCTTAATATTTATTTTCCAAGGTTGAGCAGCAGAGACAACATTGATGCACTCCCAACTATCTACCGAGGATCACGGAAACCTAGCCCACTCGATCACAAAAATGATCAAAAAATGTTCTTTGCAACTGTAAGCATTTATTTAAATATTTATGTTGGTAACATCATGTACATGATCAAGAGTTTATCTGTGCCTCTGCGTGAATGCTCCATCTCACAACGCAATCAAAACGTTATGTGTATTTGAACAACAGACAATACCAACTCACTGTCTAGATTTTGTAGGAAAGTGCTCTGCTGGAAACAATTGTCTTCCTCTTCAAAATGTTAAGAACAGCTTTCCATCTCATCCCCCAGTATTCAGTGTGCAAATATCCTGTTGACATTATGTAGACATGCTGAAATCGAGACTGTATTTTTACCTGGAAGACTGTATTTTTTTCATAGAATGAGAACTGAATTCTGGAAGCTAGATCCACCTCCTCAGTTTGGAGATTGGTCAGCAGAGAGTTTGGAAGCTGAATAGCAGCATAATTGATCTGGGGAGACTCTTCACCCAGAGAGACCTATTAGTAGGATAGGAAAGTTACAGAAAGTATAATCTACACATTTATAACAACAACTTGGATTTATGTAGCGCCCTCCACACCGGCCAGCATCTCAGAGCGCTTAAAGGAGGCTTCTTGAAGGAGGTAGACATATTCAAGTCTTATTTCTCACAGCATCTCCAATTTATCCCCACTAACAATTTTTCTTCCAGCCCCCGCACAGTCTCGTGTGGTGTTCCTCAGGTCCTCAGTCCCCTCCTCTTCAATCTCTACATGCTCCCCTTGATGATATCATCCGCAGACATGGGGTCAACATCCACATGTATGCGGATGACACCCAACTCTATCTCTCTACCTCCACCCTCGATTCCAGGACAACTGACGTCTTGACAGAATGTCTGTCTGACATCAAGTCCTGGATGAGAACTTTCTGCAACTGCATGTCAGCAAGACTGAGGACCTCCTCATTGGCTCGCGCCAGTGCCTCAGCACCTCAGGCACTGGCAGCATTAGCATCCACAGTTACATACTCCACCTCACTAAGCCAGTTAGGAACTTGGGCATCTTGTTCAACCCTCAACTATCCTTTCTCCCCCATATCCATGCCATGACCTGCTTTGCCTTCCCCCACCTCCACAACATTGCCCAACTCCGCCACTCCCTCACCCCTCAAGCCACCAAAACCCTCATAAATGCATTAGTCACCTCAAGGCTTGACTACGGAAACTCCCTCCTTGTTGGGCACCAAACTCTTCCCTCCACAAGCTCTAGATCATCCAGAACTCTGTAGTTCGTGTCCTCTCCCGCACCAGGCTCTGTGACCCCATCACCACCACCCTCGCCTGGCTCCACTGGCTCCCCATCCCTCAGAGGATAGAATTCAAAATCCTTGTCCTCACTTTCAAGATCCTCAATGGTCCTGCCCCTCTCAACTTGTCCGCTCCATCTGCTCAGCAGGTCTCCAGGTCTTCCGCCCGAACCGCCCTACCATCGGCGGCCGGGCTTTCAGCCTCTCTGCCCCCACTATTTGGAACTCCATCCCACAATCCCTTCACCTTGCTCCCTCCCTTGCCTCCTTCCAAGGTATGACTCAAGACCCTCCTTTTTGACTGTGCCTTCAGCCGCCCTCCTACCCCATCTGCCCTCCCTATCCCAACCCTGCCCCCCCAAGTTTGGGTCCTGATCCCTGACTGTTCAGCGCCTTGGGACGATCTCCCAGTGTGAAAGGCACTTTACAAATGTAATTTTGGTGTTGCTGTTGATATTCAGTCAAACTCAAATTAGTTAGTTAAAATTAAAAAATATTCCATGGCCCAATTAATTTTGCGCATATACATTGGAGTGCGAAAATTAAATGGCTGCAAAAAATACTGGGTGTGAAATGGTGCACTGGTTGACCAAGCATAACGTAATGACTTGTGGTGACATTCAATAATATTTTAATGTTTAGCAAAACATCAGTAAAATACAGCCATCCCTGAACAGGCCAGAAGGCCTCTCAATCCAAATTTTTAAATCTTACAAGCTGAGCTCTCATGGTGGTTCAGTTGGTTAGGTCTGAGATTTTTCTCATCCTGGCCTTTAAAAAAATATTTCAAGCATGATTGGCAGATGCAAGTGGTCATCTCCCTGTACGATAGGCTAAGATATAGGGATAACAGTTCTATGAAATAGCTTTGAAAAGCTTGTCCCATGCACTGACAGGAGGACACTGGACCTAAAGATGTGGGAACGCATGTTCTGGGTTACCTGGAGGTCTGTGATATTGCTGATGCTGAAATTAGCCCCACTGAAGCCCATCACATTGACCTTAGTCACAGCTAGAGCCAATGATGTTGAGGTGAGCTTTACGGAGTCTGCTGAGAAATTGAGTCGGAGACCAATCTTGTCCACGCTTTGTACCATTCTGCTAAAGAAAATCACCCGTTAGAAGGGCGGAGCAGGGATTAATGGGGAAAAGGGTGTTGGAAATAATTTGACCCTCTGAAGCACAGTCCCTCCTACCAAAATAAATGTAACTGCAAGTTTGAATTATGGAAAGAACTACATATATGTACTTGATAATGGAACTTCCACAATCTAACAATCTGGACCTGCAATTCCACCTTATAGTGTAGCCTCTCTCTCTCTCTGCCACACACTAAAAGAAACATGGCAGTCATGGAACTAATTCCAGAATTTACAGTATTGTGCTGAATGCTATTGCCTCTGGAGTTTGGATGAAGATCCACCCTGATGGCCTAGTGAGCTGGTGGCCAATCTGTGTCCCACGGGCCAGAAGTAACCCGTGGGGCAGTCAATAAGTGGCCCTACCAAATATTCGCATGAATGTAGGTAAATCCATCTTCAATGGTATAAATCAAGAAATATTCAATCAAGAAAATGTATTTTCTGGCCTAGTGGATAAAATGTACCACTACATTAGACATATAAACTAGGATTTCAGGTTCAATTCCCAGTCCATGCTAATTTAGTTGATCTCCGTTGGGCTACCATCCCCCGGTCCCTCCGCCTCGCCCGCTCCCTTGCCTCCTTCAAGACCTGTCTCAAGACTCTCCTCTTTGACCATGCTTTCAGTCACTCTCCTTCCTCCCCTGCCCTCCACCCACCCCGATCTCGATCCCCAGCTGAGATCCGAAACACTCATTGTCCAGCGCCTTGGGATGTCCTCCCGAGGTGAAAGGGGTTATACAAATGTAATTTTGTTGTTGTATGCATATACCTCAGTTGAGGACAGCAGAGGGCTCAGCTCCCTCTCCCTTGCCCACCAATAGTTTTCTAAGACTGACTGTCAAGGCTAAAGATGAGTAATTCCCAAATAGTGAAAATGTTGTAAGGCAAAAATATATCCCTGGGAACATTGAGGGATAAGTGGAAGAGGGAAGAGTGAAATACCTTCAGAAGATGAGGAAAGTAAAAAATTTACAGAAGTTTTCTGAAAAAAATTCAAGAAATGTTTGTAACTTCATCCAGCATCAACATTGTCCCCTCATTTACTTTACAACATTAGTGCCAAAGGCAAGTCAATTGTAGACAGCAGAACTGTAAGCTGTAAATGGAGCATTATTGGATATGCCTTTTGGCAACACATCGTTTGGGATATTTAGGAATGCAAGCAGAAAAATAGATGAGGCATAGTGAGCATTTGATAATCAAAGCTGTGGTTTGTTCCAAATGGGGGAAATTCAGCCCGGAGGGTAATATAAGTAGTGATGATGCAAAGAATCTAGCGCCACTTACCTTGTGGAAGAAGAAGCCAGAACATCAGCAGAGGCATTCAGGAGGTTGCTGACAGTACCAACAAGTGTTCCTGCAAGCCCTGTAACTACATTTGCCTTGTCCAAAATTTCATTCAGTTTGGACACAATGAGGGAAATGTCGGCCGCAGTCAGGACAGCAGTGTTTCCTGACAGTGCAAGTAAGGCGTCAGCAACCATTGCAGCATTATCTGATGTGAAAATGGAGAGAAAATGTATCATACAATACAATCAGACATTACAATTCTTTGTTTTTCTCAAATGAAAGGAAGGAATGTTGGGGCGAGTGAAAGTAGTATTTTGTCTCTGTAAGAAATAATCATTAATACAGATACCAGCATGGACTCTCACATTTAGGATACCTTCTGGAGAATTGACTTGTCTATTCTGTTGATAGGCCTGATGGGGAGGAACTAAATACGTCTTGAAGAGGCTACATATACCGTAACAGGGGGAGGTAACTTGGACTCACGGGAAGAGAACTAGAGACATCTGAATCCTGGAAAGAATGTAAGCAGTGAGAACAAGTGTACCATTATACTCAGTTAGTGTCATATATTCTGGGGTCTGGTAACTCCATATCACGCACAAAATATACAGTCACTACACTTTACAGTATATTCTGTGAAGCGCTTTGACACGGCTCGAAAAAGTAATCAGGCGCTATATCAAATGCAAGAATTATTATATTTATTATATCAGTTTCAAGAAACATGAAACCTATTTCAACTAAAGAGTTCTCCACCCTATGCACCTAAGATCATCCTAACCAATGACACAGGGGCCGAACAAGTTTGGAGATGGAACGTGGAGATTTGCTAAATGCTAAGATTCCTTACTACACGTAAAATACAACACTTAGAGAAGGAAAGGTTTAAAAGGTTTTTTCTTGGTCTGAAAAAAATGGCTTCATCAAAATATTTAACCAAAATATTTAAGTTAAGTTAACCTATTTAACACCTGTCACAGTAGCAGCTTGCGACACTCGGGTCTACCAAGAAAAAACAGTATTGTGGGAATTGCCACTCTTTCTTTATCCACTTGGTGCTGCTCCCTGCACACTGCCAGGTAAAAGCTACTCCATAAAATATTTTCTATTCTTCCTGCAGTTAATATCTTAGATTTCAGACCATTTTACTCTTCAGAATTTACATAAGAAACTTGTGTCAAGTTATCAGGAGAGAAGTCAAGGCCAGGACAATGGACGCATTTAAGAGAATATTTAAAAAAGAAAGCTTTCATGAATAATTTTACCTCTACAGTTTGAACTCTCATTCTTCGATCTAACGCATCATTACTAAATATGCGAGTCTTGCTTTCAACAACAACAACAAGATTCCATTTATAAAGCGCCTTTCACGTCAGGAGGACGTCCCAAGGCGCTGCACAGTTGGGTCATGACCCGAGCAGGGGGAAATGGTCAGGGTGAGGGGAGGGAAAGGAGGGAGCGAGGAGGGGGGAAATGGTCAGGGTGAGGGGAGGGAAGGGAGGGAGCGAGGAGGGAGAAGAGAGTCGAGAGGAGAGCTGAAGGCTTGATATCTGCGACACATCAAGGGAGGTTTTTTTCAGGGTGGGCGTGATGGTGGCAGTTTTTAAGGGAATGGGGACAGAGCCAGAGGAGAGGGACAGGTTGACAATGTCGGTGATATGTGGGGCAAGAAAGTGGAGCTGGGAGATAAGGAGTGGAGTGGGGATGGGGTCAAGGGAGCAGGTAGTTGGTTTCAGGGATAGGATGAGTTTGGTGACAGAGGGTGGGGAAACGGGTACAAAAGTGAGTAGGGGAGGATGGGTAACAGTCGGAGTATGGGAGTGAGGGGGTGGGGGGTTGGTGGATGTTGGAGGGGAAGTGACCGCGGAGCGAATTCCCTTGATCTTGGATTCAAGGAAATCCAGCATCTCCTCGCAGTGAAGGTTGGAGGAGATGACCTGCGCGGGGTGGCGGGGGGACGGAGGAGTCGGGTTGTGGTGGAAAACAGTAGCCTGGGGTTGTTCTTCGCCTCCAGGATTATCCTGGAATAGAAGAATGACTTGGCCGAGGCTAGAGTGGAGCGGTAAATTTTGAGGAGGTCCAGCCAGATTTGTCGGTGGACCGTTAGGCCAGATTTGACACAGGTGCGTTCAGCAGCCCGCACCTGGCTTTTCAGTGAGCGGAGGTGGGTGGTGTACCAGGGGGAGGAGCAGGAGTAGGAGACAGAGCGGGAGTAGGAGACAGTGGCTTTCACACTATTTCTGAACATTTGTAGCTTCTGAAGCCTGCAGACAGACCATCAACTTCCTTGATATTTACCTGCAGTGACATTGATTTTGCGAAGGTCGGAAATACTTATCAGTGAACCCGAATTACATGCGTCTTGCTGATTGGAAAGCCAAATGGATTCATTAAAAAGGCTGTAAGAAGAAACATGCGATGGAAAATACTTTAGTGCATAGTATTGTCATAGACGAGCTAGACTGAAAAGAGAAATTACATGAGATCAAACATAATTCTAAAGGTTTCAATCTCTGAATGGCTAGTAGTCAAAGTATTAACTATTGATCTGGGAGCTTTGATTACTAAAACTTCAATTGTTGATCTAGGAGCTTCAATCTAATGGTCTTTAGCAATCCTTGAGCGTTCATGTCAAATTTCAACGATTTCTGACACCTACCAGTTTGTGGCTGTGTTTTGGATAGTTGAATAGCCCATGTTTGGTTTATAAGTGTAATTGACCCCAACTGTGGAAGAGAAAACAAAATCTTAAAAGATTGAAGGAGTATTACACAGCAAATACAGGAGTAATATTTTCAGGTCTCAATGCACTTTCAAATTGTACACAGTTATTTGGCATTAGGTACTCCGGTGTGGTATTTCTTCACTGGATTCCTTAAAATCAGGAGTCCCATTGGCCTCTGCTTCAGAAGTGGATCTTGTAGGAGGGAAGATTTTGAGATCTTGGAAGTCAGTAATATAAAGTCATATCTGGTTACTGCATGGGAGTTGCTTCTTCCGCCCCCTTCCCACCCCCTCATGTCTTAGATTTCTTACTCAGAAATCCCAATAAAAGATACCACAATCTCAACCCCATTGTTTTCCAAATCTGGACTCCAGCAGTTCCCCCAGGAGGGCCAATGGTTAGATTGGGACCTTCCCCTGACCTCCTAACACCAGTCCTGGAAAACAAAACAGGAGGAACAGAAGCATTTCTTTGATTTATAAGTGCAATTGCCAATTTGTGAATTTAAGATTCTGTTTCCTATTCCATAGATGGGGGCAATTGCTCTTGTGAATAATAATTATCCTTGCATTTGATATACCACCTTATCACATCGTTGAGATATTTTGCACACAAAATATACAGTCAATTCACTTTACAGTATATTCTGTGAAGCCCACTGAGACGTCTCGAAAAGGCGATAAAGCGCTATATCAATTGCAAGGATTATTATATTATGAAGCGCTTCACAGAATATATTATAAAGTGGAGTGAAAGTACTTTGTGGTATTTATGTACATTCCACATTAAAGGATCAAATGTACACTTTCTTTAAAAAAAATCTAAATGAACCCTTGATGTAACCTTCAAAAATGTTTGATTTTTAAAAAGAGCGGCATGAATGCCTCTTTTAAAAAAAAAGCATTACAACCTATGGTTAAATTTAAAATACATTCAACTTCATTTTATTTTTATTTCCTTTTTAAATATTGGGATCTAATTTGCAATATTTAGCAGGATTCCTCAATAAAGAATTGGAGTTGCCCAAATGCAGACTCCATCTGACAAACAGAAGCACATTATGCCAAATCAAACTACCAGTCACTTTACTGCTTTTTCAGAGCGAAGTTCTCACATATCAACGTAATTCTTATCTCTTACTAAGATATATGGATCTCGGATAATGGACCAAGTTAAAACAGATAGACAAGGAAAGCTCATTGCATCCAAGCCATGGCTGTGCCATTCTCCACTCCTCAAGCCCACCAACTATTCATAAACATAGCACTAACTGTCTCAACAATACAACAAATTTGCTGAACAGCTGTGGAACTAAAATTTACCTTCAATGAATTTCTTTATAAATAAAGAATTTGGGTCAAATTCTTTTATATCTTCCAGGATTTGAGATATATTGACGATGCTCTCATTAGTCAATCTTATTGTGATTTCATAGTTAAACCCACTAAAAGAAAAAAAAAGAAAAAATTATTTCAGTTTACAAAATGTCAATTAACCACATGTCTTCTCCTGTGACTACTTGACAAAGTTGATGCTTTATGTTCTGATCTTCAGTTACCATAGATAAATTCATACTTTTCAGTTAATTTAACAATTCTTGCTTTTGATATAGTGTTGTATCATGTCATTGAGATGTCTCAAAAGCACATTATAGGATTTTTGTAGGCAAATTCAGTAGCAAAGTTGTGCACAGCAATGAGCCACAAAAAGCCCTGAAGTTAATGATAAATTTTAAACAAAATTTAATGCTTGGATTCTGCACATAAAACATGCTCATTCTTACCCTCTAACTTACCTGCAATTAAATTTAGTAACATTACAGTAAACCTGAATGATCTGTAAGATAAAATAGACAGCAAGGAAACAGATGAATTTCAGTAAAAGTAAAGTTAAAATAAATGGATCAGAATTAGTCACAACAATTCTCAGACTAATTTTCACTGGCAAATGTTAATTATTCTGATGTTAATTATAGAGATAATCTGCTGCTGTGTACCTCAACAAGGATTAAATTAAATAATTGGAGTGAGATTCCACTTGGGTCTAGATTTACTCTATTAAAAAATATAGCATTTTGGATTATCCAGAATTTGACAAATTCTTGAGCACAGCCTTAATTTTCTGAAGCTGTTTATTTTGTAAAATTCTTTTAAACTTAGTTTTTTTTTAAATGTCTTTGGAACCTCAGAAAATTGGCTTCAAAGTTAAAGCTGAATTAAACCTTAACTTATCAAATTCTAGATGCTTTGAAATGAATGGAGTTTCTCCCAGTGTCCTGACCAACAATCCCCAAAATAAAATTGGTCACTCACTTCATTACTGTTTGTGGGACATTGCAGTGCGCAAATTGTCTGCCACGTTCCCCCATACAACATGCAGTCAATAAATTTTACAGTATATCCTGTGAAGTGCTTTGGGACATCCTCCTGACATGAAAGGCACTATACCAAATGTAAGGATTATTATATTATTATTCAGCACCACAGGTACAGGAAAGCCCAATGTGAAAGGCACTATGTAAGTGTAAATTGTATTGTATTATGCTGACACCCTCTTCCTCTGTCCCATTGTCCACCTCCTCTGAAGGATGACAACTTATACTTTCTAGAGTACGTCCTACCTCACGTATCCCATTGGAGCCTCTATGTATCATACAGTGATCCAATAGATAGTGTTTTGAACTACCAACTTACAATTATCAGTGCATTGGGACATCTTCCTGATATGAAAGGCACTACAGTATATAAATGCAATTTGTTGTTGTTGTTTTATAAATGCTACACAAGCAAAATAAATCTAGGCCCAAGTGGAATTTTATCCCAATAATGACCATATTGTAGCAATTCCAGAATTAGTCATCTATTTTGCAAACTTTAGTCACTCCTTTGCTTCCTGAGTTACTTATGCTAAGGCTCCTATTCAACAAAAGTAATTTACCTCAAAAGCACTTGGAGTATGGACTGAGTTGTTTCTGCACGTTGAATTCATGCTGAAATGACATTTTAGACAAATTATTTATGTAGCAAAATCAATATTAATTGTTGAAAGAAGAGGCCATCTTAAGTTACAATGTACAAGATACTGATTTGATGTATAGTAGCTGTGTGATACCATACATCAATCACTCCACGCATCTCAACTACAACCTCTATGCAGCACACTGAATAGATTTTCCATAGAGATTTGTGTCAATCACAGACTAGATCACTCTTGTGAGAACACACAGGTTCAGTCAGCAGTCTGGACCAGCAAGATGCTTTGTGTAGCTAATTCTCAATGACCGTATCAACAATTTGCAAACACTTATTTTACTTGCACCAAGAGGTCTAGAGAGTTTACAGAAATCACAAGTACCAGTCTATAATGTAGCTTCATTTATTCATTCATTCATTCTGTAGTGGAATCTATTACAATAGTACAATATACAAATGTGTGCTGGATGTCGGGCTGGAATGGCTTCAGTTCCAATCATGATATGTTCATTGTGCCCTTCATCCTTTTGAGGTTGATGAAAAGAGTACCACATCCAAAGTCTTCCAAAGGTGATGGGGTTGGTGGGCAGGAGGTTACGTCATTAATGGATGCTGTGCTTGGCTGTATGCTGCAGCGCAGGTATAGATTGCTGCACCAGTTTGCACTAATAATAATAATAATAATAATAATCCTTGCATTTGATATAGCGCTTTTCACGTCGGGAGGACGTCCCAAAGCGCTTCACAGAATATACTGTAAAGTGAATTGACTGTATATTTGTGGGCGAACGCGGCAGCCAATTGCGCACAGCAATGTCCCACAAACAGTCGTAGATTGAAAATGACCAATTTATTATTGTTTTTGGTTTTGGAGGGATTATTATTAGGCGTGTGGAGTAAGGAAACTTGCCCAAGGTTTCGCCCTGCCTGGAATTGAACTCAGGTCTCTCACTTGCAAAGCGAGTGCTCTAACCACTGAGCTACAGGACTCCAAAAACACTGCCTTTTCCATAGGCATTGAGATAATTACAAAACTAACCGTACTTATTTTTTTGATAAGCTGGATGTCTGACAGACTCAGAAATCCATCACCATGCTTAAGAGTATCTAAACCAGACAGAGTTCCACCTATGCACGGAAATCTCCCGAGTCTGGATTGCAATACGTACTCTCTCCGGAGAGATGCCCCTGCTTAACTAGTTCCACAGAGTATTAGGTGCAGATTAGCAAGAGCCAAGGCTTGGAGAATTCAAAATGTGCATTATAGTACTGGAGCTTAACTGGCGAAAACAGCATATTTTATTATTGAAAGCATTGTCTTTAGCACAGTCAGTTGGCGTCTTTTTCCTATTCTTATACCTACCTCGGAGTCTTCACAGTTGCATTCCCATTATTTTCTAATGAGTATTTACAAAAAAGTTCGCATAGATGATTTCTGAACTGTGTGGGTAAAGTAAAAATGATCAATATGCATCTTTCTTTTTTTTAAAAAATCACATTTTTATTGCTTTTATCGTATCCTAGTTCTGATCTTCAAATAATAATAATAATAATCCTTGCATTTGATATAGCGCTTTTCACGTCGGGAGGACGTCCCAAAGCGCTTCACAGAACACACTGTAAAGTGAATTGACTGTATATTTGTGGGCGAATGCGGCAGCCAATTGCACACAGCAATGTCCCACAAACAGTCGTAGATTGAAAATGGCCAATTTAATTATTGTTTTTTTTGTTGTTTTTTGGAGGGATTATTATTAGGCGTGTGGAGTAAGGAAACTTGCCCAAGGTTTCGCCCTGCCTGGAAATGAACTCAGCTCTCTCACTTGCAAAGCGAGTGCTCTAACCACTGAGCTACAGGACTCCACTGTCTACAATGTCTCCATACCTGCTGTGTCTCTATGATCTCCTCCAATTCTTCTCCCACCCAATCCCTCCACTCCACAAACGCAGGCCTGGTGTATGTCTACATCTCCCTTAGGCAACAAAAATATCCAACCACTATTCTCTCGCTCTTTGGATCTCTCTCCAAAATCCTCTCCTCAACCCCACCCCCCCTTCAATCTGCTTCTCATCAACAACATCTTTTGTCATTTCCCTTACCTATCACACACCCTCCTTGGATTCCCAATCTTATCTCTATAAAGTGCTTGCAGATGTTATCCTTTATGAAATATGCTATAACAGAGCCAGTTCTTATCGTATTCTCTTTCCGCAGCCCAGTCATAAGTTAAACACAAATAATTACCAACTGACACTTGATTAAAGCTAAAGTTTAATTGAAATTGTCTGTACAAGTGATTTGGGGTCTAATTTGAGTGATTTCACAAAGGATTTATAAATAATAAATCATGCAGTTAGCTGGATGGGTCAGAAGCCAACCCTCTGTGACTCCACTTGATTGCCAATCCCAGTTCCTACTTCAGTTAAGCCAAAGAAAGCTGCTGGAGAATGGTAGATGATAGGTGTCAATCAGCATCTGAGCTCCAGGAGGTCAGCGTTAGACACAGATGCAGGTTCTGCTATTTCAAATTGCCTTTGCAAATTGTGCAAACCAGACCTCAATAAATGAGACTTTGAAGCTGTATTTAATAATGACCCTTGCATTTGATACAGCATCTATATCATCAAAACAAATCTTTTGACTTGTATCATGGAATTTTTAACAGTCACCTGAACAGGAAAACAGGAGCTTGATTTAAATGTTATCAGCTGAAGGACAACACCTTTCAGCCGAGACTGAAAGCTCAAAATGCCAACTGGAAACAACAAACTTCATGATTCCGAGACAAGAATGGCACTAAGTGAACCCGCTGACCACCCAACAGGTAAGTGGAAAGTAGGATAGACTAAAAAGTAAATTACTTACCTGCTGGTAAACATCTTCCATTTGATCTGAAGGTGACTTAATCCACCCGGAAATTTGGTAGATGTTACCTATGATAAAATTATAATAATAATAATAATGCTTGCATTTGATATACTGGGTTCCTACTTACTGCTAGGTAAACATGAATAAAAATAAATGGTTTAGAGGAAGGAATGTGGATGATCTGCACCTCAAAGTAATCAATCTGTAATGAAACAAGGGCAAAATACTGCAAAGCTGATAATGCAAATTAGACATCAGGGGATGGAATGATGATCAAGAACTATTACAGTTGTACACTTTCTATCATTGAATACCCCTCTTTTCAGCCATGCCAGTAGATGGAGCTGTTACACAGCAAGACTATTGGGGGAGAGCAATAGAAAGGAATAAGAGTTGACGTGTCCGATTGCAAGTGCCTTTGCTCTGAGTTAATCAGAGAGTGTGGCAGATGCAAAAGTGAATGATTACTAAGGAATTGAAAAAGGAAGCAAAAGTATTGGCCTCATATAACAATCTCACAACAAATGAACACAAAGAATGCCCATTTAGTTAAACCAGCAGACAGTTGCCATCAGTGGAATTGGTGTCCAAAAATATCAATGCCCCAGAAGGGGAGGAAGGAAAAGAGTATCTCAGTATTCTAACACTAGGATCAGATACAGATCAGATCAAGTTATCAAATCTTAAGAATTGTGTTGCAATACAAAAGTGAACAGAAATGGCATAATAATTATGTAACACAGACAGGCACAACCTGGTCAAAAGTAGTGCACCGGCCTTTTATAATGCCTGTTAGATGGGAATAGGTAAATAAATTACTGGCAAGGAAGGACCTGAAAATTAATACACACAATTTACATTTATATCATGCCTTTCACAATGTGCTTGACTCTGCTGAAATTCAAAATAATTGATTTGTTTTTGGAGTAGAAAATGTCTTGGTACGTTTGTGAAGCTGTGCACAGTAGCTGCACGTTGCCATAAATTTCTGGGGCATTAAAAGGGGAATTGTACTGGAATATTGAAGGAAAACTAATAGGAATCTAGGAAAAGTACAGGCTGCCTCTTCTCAAATTGCTCAAACATTTCTTCACTACATAGCTATTTAATTTTCTCTTGAAATTCCACAGCCTATCTGGGGAGTGTATCATACATAATTATAGGTGATGTTAGTCATATTGAAATAAAGGTGGAACAAGGGTAATGATTGAGAGACAACACGCCTTCGTGACATTGCACATTTAAAAAGAATACAAACATAGTGGATAATTTGGAGTTGATGAAATTCTTGAACATATCCTCAGATTCTAGATGGAAGGGAGGCGTATGATGTCCAATGGCCTTTTGTTGCCCTGTTTTCTCACTGCCCCAACAACAACAACAAGATTCCATTTATAGAGCGCCTTTCACGTCAGGAAGACGTCCCAAGGTGCTGTACAGTTGGGTCAGGACCCGAGCAGGGGGGAAATGGTCAGGGTGAGGGGAGGGAGCGAGGAGGGGGTAGAGAGTCGAGAGGGGAGCCGAAGGCTCGGTCAAAGAGAAAGGTCTTGAGACCGGCCATGAAGGAGGAAAGGGAGGAGGCGGCGAAGGCACTGGGGGATAGAGTTCTAAAGCCTAGGGGCTGAGAGGCTGAAGGCCCGGCCACCGAAAGTAGGGCGGTTGGGGCGGGGGATGTGGAGCAGACGGGAGCCAGAGGAACGGAGGGTACGGGCAGGTAGGGGGATAGTAGGTCAGAGAGGTAGGAGGGAGCAAGGCCGTGAATGGCCTTGTAGGTGAGGACGAGGATCTTGAAATCGATCCTCTGGGGGATGGGGAGCCAGTGGAGGCGAGCGAGGGTGGGAGTGATGTGGTGGCGAAGCCTGGTGCGGGACAGTACACGAGCTGCAGAGTTCTGAATGACCTGCAGCTTATGGAGGGAGGTGCCGGGAAGGCCGGCGAGGATGGAGTTCCCATAGTCCAGCCTTGAGGCGTGGACCAGAGTTTCAGCAGCGTGAGGGGTGAGGTAGTGCCGTAGTCTGGCGATATTCCGGAGGTGATGGAAGGCAGTGCCAGTTGTGGCGCGGATATGACGGAGAAAGGACAGCTCAGGGTCGAACAGAGGTCCCTGACAGGCTTTGAGAGGTGGAGAGTGCAGCCTTGGATGCTGATGTGTCAGCGCCTGAGGTGCGGAGGCGCTAACGTGAGCCAATCAGGAGGGCCTCAGTTTTATGCACGTTGAGCTGAAGAAAGTTGTCTCTCGTCCAGGAAAGTATCACTGGGATCAAGAGATAATCAAAACAAATACAGCAGAGTGGAATACTTTCAAGTTAAAGGGCAGCAACTCTACCTACTGTAAAATCATCAGGTGTTAAAATCAAGGAGAATTAAGAAAAAAATAAAAGTTTTCTGTTTTCTGCAGTTCCTAAAAACAACCAACTACTAAATTAAGACTATGAATTTAGCCTCAATGTAGCTATGAACATTCCACAAATCTGAGCAAATTGTTAAGATGATTTGCACAGATAACAAGCCCTGCTTCCAAATGAAGATTGAATTGAAATTCTTCAATTCAATCTTGATTTGGAAGCTGGGCTTGTTTTACAATTTTAGGGGAGGCCAGCTAATAGCAGCGATGCTGTAATAGAGGTCTTATAGACTAAGACTCAATCGAATTTGGGTGACTTAAGTAGATAAAAAATAGGATTTATTCAGAAACTCAGTCTGGTTTGAATGCTATTGAGCACAGTGATGGATTTCTGCAGGTATCAGACACTCGACTAAACAAAACATACTGGGAAATAGGAAAATGGAAATTGGCCATTTTAGCATGAAGAGCCAGCTGGAAACATGCAGGCCAGCGCCTAGGATGCACAATCAACAAATACCCTTCATGCTGATGAAACATTTTAAAGAATTTAACTGCAGAGAGAACATTTGCAGTACCTGTCATGTTCACTGTGGGAGCCGTGTTATTAGTTAGAACTCTGAAGCCCGTGTCCTCTCCCGCACCAGGCTCCATGACCCTATCAGCCCCATCCTCGCCCAACTCCACTGGCTTCGTATCACACAGAGGATACAGTTCAAGATCCTGGTCGTCACCTTCAAAGCCCTCCATGGTCTTGCTTCCGACTACCTCTGCGATCCCCTACCAACCTGCCCGCTCCCTCCGCTCAGTGGGCGATCCCGACCTTCATTTCAGGTCCGAAACACTGATTGTCCTGCGCCTTGGGACGTCCTCCCAATGTTCATTCCCACAGCTCAGTGGGCTCCAGCCTGGCTCACGTCTCCCACCTCGCTCACCCTACTATTGGGATGCAGGCCTTCTGCCACTCTGCCCCCACCCTCTGGAACTCCATCCTGTAGTCCCTTCAGCTTGCCCTGTTCCTTGTCTCCTTCAAGACTCTCCTCTTTGTCTGTGCTTTCGATTTCCCTGTTCCCCCCCCTGCCCTCCACGATCCTGACCCCCAGCTCGGGTCTGTCCAGCACCTGGGGACATCCTCCCGATGTGAAAGGTGCTATAGTAATGTAATTTGGTGGTGGTTGTTATCCGGACTGAACACGACAAGTCATGAGCAGTATATAGTACTGTATATACCATAATAATATAATATAGCATTAACATATATTCCCCTTGCCTTTGGCCTGACACCTTCTTATACAGTATTTTATACACTTATACTAATAAGCAAGTTCACTATTTAGACAGTAGACATAGTACATCCTGATATAAACAAATTGGTTTCTGGTACCTGTTGGGATGAATGATGTGGATATGATATTAGTTGTGCTAGAAGGAGCTGAAAAGAGACAACCAGGAGTCAGTTTGAATATAACATAAGTAAAGTAGTGCTAACAAATCCAATGCCATGCATATGTCTACAGAGTAATTACATGAATATAACTGTATTGAGGCTGTCCAAATAGCTCAGCAAGTTTACTGTTTAGACAGTAGACTCATAATCACAGTTCACATTTTCAGTACCTGCTGTGCTAAACAAATTGGTTTCTGGTACCTGCTAAAGTGGATTCACTGGATGTGATATTAGTGTTGTTGGAAGTGGCTGAAAAGAGACAAACAGTGGTCAGATTGAATATAATATGAGTGAAGTAGTTCTAACAATTCCAGTAGAGTAGCCCAATGATGTTTGCTTTAGGTCCAATGCAATCCATATAAAAAGGATTATTATTTATTGTAATCATAATAATAATCATTAGAATATTTTAGAATATACAGCACAGAAACAGGCCATTAGGCCCAACTGGCCTATGTCGGTGTTTATGCTCCACATGAGCCTCCTCCTGCCCTTCCTCAACTAAGCCTTCGATCATAACCTTCTATTCCTTTCTCCCTCATGTACCCGTCTAGCTTCCCCTTAAATACATCTTTGCTAAGTGCCTCAACAACTCCTTGTGGTAGCATGTTCCACATTCCCACCACTATCTGTGTGAATAAATTTCTTCTAACTTCCCTATTTGATCTATTTGTGACTATTTGATATTGATGGCCCCTAGTTTGGTCTCCCCCAAAAGTGAAAATATCTTCCCCATGTCTACCCTATCAAAACCTTTCATCATTTTAAAGAACTCTATCAGGTCGTCCAAGCATGTTCAGCCTTTCCTGATAGATACAACCTCTCAGTTCTGGGATCATCCTTGTGAATCTCCTTTGCACCCTCTCCAGTGCCTCCAAATCCCTTCTGTAATGTAGGGACCAGAACTGCACACAGTATTCTAAGTGTGGTCTAACCAAGGTTCTAAGGAGGTTTACCATAACTTCCCTACATTTTCTTTCTGTCCCTCTAGAAGTGAATCCCAATGCCCAGTTTGCCTTTTTTGTGGCCTGAAAAACCTCATTGCTACTTTTAGTGAATTGTGCATATGTACCCCTCTCCCTTGTTAGATTGCACCAAGAGGCAGTCCAGGGTTCCCACAGTTATAAACTGGCCCATCTCTGGGCAGAGCAGATTGTAATACCTGGCATGCTGGATGAAGAAGATGTCGTCACTGTGTCAGATTTATTTCTGGTCCCTGCTGAGCTGGATGATGTGGATGTGATATTAGTTGTGCTGGAAGGAGCTGAAAAAAGACAACTCGCGGTCAGATGGAATGAATCTTGTTCACGCCCCCCGCCTCGCTCGCCCCACTATTTGCAGGCGGGCCTGCTGCCACTCTGCCCCCCACCCTCTGGAAATCCATGCCGCAGGACCTCCACCTCGTCCCCTCCCTTGTCTCATTCAAGACCTATTTCAAGACCCTCCTGTTTGACTGTGCTTTCGAACACCCTGCTTTGGCCCCTGCCCTCCACCATCCCGGATCCCGACCCCCAGCTCAGGTTCGAAACTCTGTCTGTTCAGGGCCTTGGGATGTTCTCACGACGTGAAAGCCGCAATACAAATGGAATTTTGTTGTTGTTGTTATCTGGACTGAACACGACAAGTCACAAGCAGTATATAATACTGCATATAACAAAATAACATTGTATAGCATTAACTTATATTGCCCTTGCCATTGGCCTGACACCTTCTTATACAGTATACTATATACTTATACTGTATATTAAATCATTTAGTAAACAATATTATAATCGTATTAGTCGACAAACAATGGCTTTTACCAGAAGAGAGCTGAAAGTCATCATCAGTGTTATTGTCATTAAAGGTATGTTCATTTGCCTGGAAATATAGACCATGCTCGAAGAGAATGGAAACCGGAATGATTTGCATATATGCACGCCACCTGCACATGGAAATGTCCCTGGGCTCTCTCTCTCTCACTTAGCAATATTCCTTACTATCCAAGTATTTATCTCCCTGTTAAACATCCTCCTGACACAAAAGGCGACACATGTATGTAAATGTTTTGTTAATGTATATTTAAAAAAATTGTACAAATTCAGAATACTGTGTTTAAATCAATTAAACATTTTCACACTCATGCACTCGCTTCTAAAACCTGTTGTCATCTGAAACAGAAATCCCAATTAACAATTGTTTCGTATTACAATTGACACTCATTATCATAGCTCACATTTGCAGTACCTGATGTGCTGGTTGGAGAAGATGGCATCACCCTGTCAGTGGCTATCACTGTAAGAAGAGCACGAGCCATTAGATCAAATCCTGACACAATTCAAAACAGAAATCCCAGTTAGCAAACGTTTCCATACATCCTGATATAAACAAATTAGTTTTTGGTACCTGTTGGGACGAATGATGTGGATGTGATATTAGTTCTGTTAGAAGGAGCTGAAAAGAGACAACCAGGGGTCAGTTTGAATATAACATAAGTAAAGTAGTGCTAACAATCCAATGCCATGCATACGCTTACAGTGTAATTACATGAATATAACTGTATTGAGGCTGTCCAAATAGCTCAGCGAGTTTACTATTTAGACAGTAGACACTCATAATCACAGTTCACATTTGCAGTACCTGCTGTGCTAAACAAATTGTTTTCTCGTACCTGCTAAAGTGGATTCACTGGATGTGATATTAGTTGTGTTGGAAGTGGCTGAAAAGAGATGAACAGTGGTCAGACTGAATATAACATGAGTGAAGTCGTGCTAACAATTCCAGTAGAGTAGCCCAATGATGTTTGCTTTAGGTCCAATGTAAATCCAACTAAAAAGGCTTATTATTTATTATAATCATAATAATAATCATTAGAATACTTTAGAATATACAGCACAGAAACAGGCCATTAGGCCCAGCTGGTCTATGTCGGTGTTTATGCTCCACATGAGCCTCCTCCTGCCCTTCCTCAACTAAGCCTTCGATCATAACTTTCTATTCCTTTCTCCCTCATGTACCTATCCAGCTTCCCCTTAAATACATCTATGCTATTTGCCTCAACGACTCCTTGTGGTAGCATATTCCACATTCCCACTGCTCTCTGTGTGAATAAATTTCTTCTAACTTCCCTATTTGATCTATTTGTGACTATTTGATATTGATGGCCCCTGGTTTGGTCTCCCCCACAAGTGGAAACATCTTCACTGTGTCTACCCTATCAAAACCTTTCATCATTTTAAAGATTTCTATCAGGTCACCCCGTACCCTCCTCTTTTCAAGGGAAAAGGGTCCAAGCATGTTCAGCTTTTCCTGAAAGGTATAACCTCTGAGTTCTGGGATCATCCTTGTGAATCTCCTTTGCACCCTTTCCAGTGCCTCTACATCCCTTCTTTCAGGTGGGGACCAGAACTGCACACAGTATTTTAAGTGTGGTCTCACCAAGGTTCTAAGGAAGTTTACCATAACTTCTCTGGTTTTCATTTCTATCCTTCTAGAAGTGAATCCCAATGCCTGGTTGGCCATTTTTATGGCTTTATTAACCTCGTTGCTACTTTTAGTGAATTGTGGATGTATACCCCAAGTTCCCTTTGCTCCTCTACCCCATTTAGGTTTTTACTTTCCAGGATGTATGTGACTTCCTTATTTCCTCTTCCAAAATGTACCACCTCACACTTTTCTACGTTGAAATCCTTACAATTGGCACTGTGCCTTTAACGTTGGAAAATACTTCACGGGAAATACTGTAAAGTGGTGTGACAGTGTGTTTGTGGGCAAATATAATTATTTGTCAGGAGCAAGCCTCCACTTACTCCCCCACAAGTCTCCCCCACCACCCCCACTCTCCTGAAGGCACAAAAAGCTATTGCACTTCTCGGTGGTCAATGTGAGCTCTCCCTTTCCCTTGAGTTGCTCAGGCTTCACACACGTTTCCCACACTGACAGAGTAAATTTGAGGAACTCACTGGGATGGAGGAGGTGTGTTCATGCCATGAATCCCCTCTCCCTTGTTAGATTGCACCAAGAGGCAGTCGGGTTCCCACAGTTATAAACTGGCCCATCTCTGGGCAGAGCAGATTGTAATACCTGGCGTGCTGGATGAAGAAGATGTCGTCACTGTGTCAGATTTATTTCTGGTACCTGCTGAACTGGATGGTGTGGATGTGATATTAGTTGTGCTGTAAGGAGCTGAAAAAAGACAACTCGCGGTCAGATGGAATGAGTCTAGTTCACGCCCCCCGCCTCGCTCGCCCCACTATTTGCAGGCGGGCCTGCTGCCACTCTGTCCCCACCCTCTGGAAATCCATGCCGCAGGTCCTCCACCTCGTCCCCTCCATTGCCTCATTCAAGACCTATTTCAAGACCCTCCTGTTTGACTGTGCTTTCGAACACCCTGCTTTGGCCCCTGCCCTCCACCATCCCGGATCCCGACGCCCAGCTCAGGTCCGAAACTCTTGTCTGTTCAGGGCCTTGGGACGTCCTCCCAATATGAAAGCCGCAATACAAATGTAATTTTGTTGTTGTTGTTATCTGGACTGAACACGACAAGTCACAAGCAGTATATAATATTGTATATAACATAATAATATTGTATAGCATTAACTTATATTGCCTTTGGCCTGACACCTTCTTATACAGTACACTATATACTTATACTGTATATTATCATTCAGTATACAATATAATAATCGTATTAGTCGACAAACAATGGCTTTTACCAAATCAGAAGAGAGCTGAAAGTCATCATCAGTGTTATTATCATTAAAGGTATGTTCATTTGCCTGGAAATATAGACCATGCTCGAAGAGAATGGAAACCGGAATGATTTGCATATATGCACGCCACCTGCACATGGAAATGTCCCTGGGCTCTCTCTCTCTCACTTAGCAATATTCCTTACTATCCAAGTATTTATCTCCCTGTTAAACATCCTCCTGACACAAAAGGCGACACATGTATGTAAATGTTTTGTTAATGTATATTTAAAAAAATTGTACAAATTCAGAATACTGTGTTTAAATCAATTAAACATTTTCACACTCATGCACTCGCTTCTAAAACCTGTTGTCATCTGAAACAGAAATCCCAATTAACAATTGTTTCGTATTACAATTGACACTCATTATCATAGCTCACATTTGCAGTACCTGATGTGCTGGTTGGAGAAGATGGCATCACCCTGTCAGTGGCTATCACTGTAAGAAGAGCACGAGCCATTAGATCAAATCCTGACACAATTCAAAACAGAAATCCCAGTTAGCAAACGTTTCCATACATCCTGATATAAACAAATTAGTTTTTGGTACCTGTTGGGACGAATGATGTGGATGTGATATTAGTTCTGTTAGAAGGAGCTGAAAAAGACAACCAGGGGTCAGTTTGAATATAACATAAGTAAAGTAGTGCTAACAATCCAATGCCATGCATACGCTTACAGTGTAATTACATGAATATAACTGTATTGAGGCTGTCCAAATAGCTCAGCGAGTTTACTATTTAGACAGTAGACACTCATAATCACAGTTCACATTTGCAGTACCTGCTGTGCTAAACAAATTGTTTTCTCGTACCTGCTAAAGTGGATTCACTGGATGTGATATTAGTTGTGTTGGAAGTGGCTGAAAAGAGATGAACAGTGGTCAGACTGAATATAACATGAGTGAAGTCGTGCTAACAATTCCAGTAGAGTAGCCCAATGATGTTTGCTTTCGGTCCAATGTAAATCCATCTAAAAAGGCTTATTATTTATTATAATCATAATAATAATCATTAGAATATTCAGAATATACACCATAGAAACAGGCCATTTGGCCCAACTGGTCTATGTCGGTGTTTATGCTCCACATGAGCCTCCTCCTGCCCTTCCTCAACTAAGCCTTCGATCATAACTTTCTATTCCTTTCTCCCTCATGTACCTATCCAGCTTCCCCTTAAATACATCTATGCTATTTGCCTCAACGACTCCTTGTGGTAGCATATTCCACATTCCCACTGCTCTCTGTGTGAATAAATTTCTTCTAACTTCCCTATTTGATCTATTTGTGACTATTTGATATTGATGGCCCCTGGTTTGGTCTCCCCCACAAGTGGAAACATCTTCACTGTGTCTACCCTATCAAAACCTTTCATCATTTTAAAGATTTCTATCAGGTCACCCCGTACCCTCCTCTTTTCAAGGGAAAAGGGTCCAAGCATGTTCAGCTTTTCCTGAAAGGTATAACCTCTGAGTTCTGGGATCATCCTTGTGAATCTCCTTTGCACCCTTTCCAGTGCCTCTACATCCCTTCTTTCAGGTGGGGACCAGAACTGCACACAGTATTTTAAGTGTGGTCTCACCAAGGTTCTAAGGAAGTTTACCATAACTTCTCTGGTTTTCATTTCTATCCTTCTAGAAGTGAATCCCAATGCCTGGTTGGCCATTTTTATGGCTTTATTAACCTCGTTGCTACTTTTAGTGAATTGTGGATGTATACCCCAAGTTCCCTTTGCTCCTCTACCCCATTTAGGTTTTTACTTTCCAGGATGTATGTGACTTCCTTATTTCCTCTTCCAAAATGTACCACCTCACACTTTTCTACGTTGAAATCCTTACAATTGGCACTGTGCCTTTAACGTTGGAAAATACTTCACGGGAAATACTGTAAAGTGGTGTGACAGTGTGTTTGTGGGCAAATATAATTATTTGTCAGGAGCAAGCCTCCACTTACTCCCCCACAAGTCTCCCCCAACACCCCCACTCTCCTGAAGGCACAAAAAGCTATTGCACTTCTCGGTGGTCAATGTGAGCTCTCCCTTTCCCTTGAGTTGCTCAAGCTTCACACACGTTTCCCACACTGACAGAGTAAATTTGAGGAACTCACTGGGATGGAGGAGGTGTGTTCATGCCATGAATCCCCTCTCCCTTGTTAGACTGCACCAAGAGGCAGTCGGGTTCCCACAGTTATAAACTGGCCCATCTCTGGGCAGAGCAGATTGTAATACCTGGCGTGCTGGATGAAGAAGATGTCGTCACTGTGTCAGATTTATTTCTGGTACCTGCTGAACTGGATGGTGTGGATGTGATATTAGTTGTGCTGGAAGGAGCTGAAAAAAGACAACTCGCGGTCAGATGGAATGAGTCTAGTTCACGCCCCCCGTCTCGCTCGCCCCACTATTTGCAGGCGGGCCTGCTGCCACTCTGTCCCCACCCTCTGGAACTCCATGCCGCAGGTCCTCCACCTCGTCCCCTCCATTGCCTCATTCAAGACCCATATCAAGACCCTCCTGTTTGACCGTGCTTTTGAATACCCTGCTTTGGCCCCTGCCCTCCAACATCCCGGATCCCGACGCCCAGCTCAGGTCCGAAACTCTTGTCTGTTCAGGGCCTTGGGACGTCCTCCCAATATGAAAGCCGCAATACAAATGTAATTTTGTTGTTGTTGTTATCTGGACTGAACACGACAAGTCACAAGCAGTATATAATATTGTATATAACATAATAATATTGTATAGCATTAACTTATATTGCCTTTGGCCTGACACCTTCTTATACAGTACACTATATACTTATACTGTATATTATCATTCAGTATACAATATAATAATCGTATTAGTCGACAAACAATGGCTTTTACCAAATCAGAAGAGAGCTGAAAGTCATCATCAGTGTTATTATCATTAAAGGTATGTTCATTTGCCTGGAAATATAGACCATGCTCGAAGAGAATGGAAACCGGAATGATTTGCATATATGCACGCCACCTGCACATGGAAATGTCCCTGGGCTCTCTCTCTCTCACTTAGCAATATTCCTTACTATCCAAGTATTTATCTCCCTGTTAAACATCCTCCTGACACAAAAGGCGACACATGTATGTAAATGTTTTGTTAATGTATATTTAAAAAAATTGTACAAATTCAGAATACTGTGTTTAAATCAATTAAACATTTTCACACTCATGCACTCGCTTCTAAAACCTGTTGTCATCTGAAACAGAAATCCCAATTAACAATTGTTTCGTATTACAATTGACACTCATTATCATAGCTCACATTTGCAGTACCTGATGTGCTGGTTGGAGAAGATGGCATCACCCTGTCAGTGGCTATCACTGTAAGAAGAGCACGAGCCATTAGATCAAATCCTGACACAATTCAAAACAGAAATCCCAGTTAGCAAACGTTTCCATACATCCTGATATAAACAAATTAGTTTTTGGTACCTGTTGGGACGAATGATGTGGATGTGATATTAGTTCTGTTAGAAGGAGCTGAAAAAGACAACCAGGGGTCAGTTTGAATATAACATAAGTAAAGTAGTGCTAACAATCCAATGCCATGCATACGCTTACAGTGTAATTACATGAATATAACTGTATTGAGGCTGTCCAAATAGCTCAGCGAGTTTACTATTTAGACAGTAGACACTCATAATCACAGTTCACATTTGCAGTACCTGCTGTGCTAAACAAATTGTTTTCTCGTACCTGCTAAAGTGGATTCACTGGATGTGATATTAGTTGTGTTGGAAGTGGCTGAAAAGAGATGAACAGTGGTCAGACTGAATATAACATGAGTGAAGTCGTGCTAACAATTCCAGTAGAGTAGCCCAATGATGTTTGCTTTCGGTCCAATGTAAATCCATCTAAAAAGGCTTATTATTTATTATAATCATAATAATAATCATTAGATTTTAGAATGCATATTCAGAATATACACCATAGAAACAGGCCATTTGGCCCAACTGGTCTATGTCGGTGTTTATGCTCCACATGAGCCTCCTCCTGCCCTTCCTCAACTAAGCCTTCGATCATAACTTTCTATTCCTTTCTCCCTCATGTACCTATCCAGCTTCCCCTTAAATACATCTATGCTATTTGCCTCAACGACTCCTTGTGGTAGCATATTCCACATTCCCACTGCTCTCTGTGTGAATAAATTTCTTCTAACTTCCCTATTTGATCTATTTGTGACTATTTGATATTGATGGCCCCTGGTTTGGTCTCCCCCACAAGTGGAAACATCTTCACTGTGTCTACCCTATCAAAACCTTTCATCATTTTAAAGATTTCTATCAGGTCACCCCGTACCCTCCTCTTTTCAAGGGAAAAGGGTCCAAGCATGTTCAGCTTTTCCTGAAAGGTATAACCTCTGAGTTCTGGGATCATCCTTGTGAATCTCCTTTGCACCCTTTCCAGTGCCTCTACATCCCTTCTTTCAGGTGGGGACCAGAACTGCACACAGTATTTTAAGTGTGGTCTCACCAAGGTTCTAAGGAAGTTTACCATAACTTCTCTGGTTTTCATTTCTATCCTTCTAGAAGTGAATCCCAATGCCTGGTTGGCCATTTTTATGGCTTTATTAACCTCGTTGCTACTTTTAGTGAATTGTGGATGTATACCCCAAGTTCCCTTTGCTCCTCTACCCCATTTAGGTTTTTACTTTCCAGGATGTATGTGACTTCCTTATTTCCTCTTCCAAAATGTACCACCTCACACTTTTCTACGTTGAAATCCTTACAATTGGCACTGTGCCTTTAACGTTGGAAAATACTTCACGGGAAATACTGTAAAGTGGTGTGACAGTGTGTTTGTGGGCAAATATAATTATTTGTCAGGAGCAAGCCTCCACTTACTCCCCCACAAGTCTCCCCCAACACCCCCACTCTCCTGAAGGCACAAAAAGCTATTGCACTTCTCGGTGGTCAATGTGAGCTCTCCCTTTCCCTTGAGTTGCTCAAGCTTCACACACGTTTCCCACACTGACAGAGTAAATTTGAGGAACTCACTGGGATGGAGGAGGTGTGTTCATGCCATGAATCCCCTCTCCCTTGTTAGACTGCACCAAGAGGCAGTCGGGTTCCCACAGTTATAAACTGGCCCATCTCTGGGCAGAGCAGATTGTAATACCTGGCGTGCTGGATGAAGAAGATGTCGTCACTGTGTCAGATTTATTTCTGGTACCTGCTGAACTGGATGGTGTGGATGTGATATTAGTTGTGCTGGAAGGAGCTGAAAAAAGACAACTCGCGGTCAGATGGAATGAGTCTAGTTCACGCCCCCCGTCTCGCTCGCCCCACTATTTGCAGGCGGGCCTGCTGCCACTCTGTCCCCACCCTCTGGAACTCCATGCCGCAGGTCCTCCACCTCGTCCCCTCCATTGCCTCATTCAAGACCCATATCAAGACCCTCCTGTTTGACCGTGCTTTTGAATACCCTGCTTTGGCCCCTGCCCTCCAACATCCCGGATCCCGACGCCCAGCTCAGGTCCGAAACTCTTGTCTGTTCAGGGCCTTGGGACGTCCTCCCAATATGAAAGCCGCAATACAAATGTAATTTTGTTGTTGTTGTTATCTGGACTGAACACGACAAGTCACAAGCAGTATATAATATTGTATATAACATAATAATATTGTATAGCATTAACTTATATTGCCTTTGGCCTGACACCTTCTTATACAGTACACTATATACTTATACTGTATATTATCATTCAGTATACAATATAATAATCGTATTAGTCGACAAACAATGGCTTTTACCAAATCAGAAGAGAGCTGAAAGTCATCATCAGTGTTATTATCATTAAAGGTATGTTCATTTGCCTGGAAATATAGACCATGCTCGAAGAGAATGGAAACCGGAATGATTTGCATATATGCACGCCACCTGCACATGGAAATGTCCCTGGGCTCTCTCTCTCTCACTTAGCAATATTCCTTACTATCCAAGTATTTATCTCCCTGTTAAACATCCTCCTGACACAAAAGGCGACACATGTATGTAAATGTTTTGTTAATGTATATTTAAAAAAATTGTACAAATTCAGAATACTGTGTTTAAATCAATTAAACATTTTCACACTCATGCACTCGCTTCTAAAACCTGTTGTCATCTGAAACAGAAATCCCAATTAACAATTGTTTCGTATTACAATTGACACTCATTATCATAGCTCACATTTGCAGTACCTGATGTGCTGGTTGGAGAAGATGGCATCACCCTGTCAGTGGCTATCACTGTAAGAAGAGCACGAGCCATTAGATCAAATCCTGACACAATTCAAAACAGAAATCCCAGTTAGCAAACGTTTCCATACATCCTGATATAAACAAATTAGTTTTTGGTACCTGTTGGGACGAATGATGTGGATGTGATATTAGTTCTGTTAGAAGGAGCTGAAAAAGACAACCAGGGGTCAGTTTGAATATAACATAAGTAAAGTAGTGCTAACAATCCAATGCCATGCATACGCCTACAGTGTAATTATATGAATATAACTGTATTGAGGCTGTCCAAATAGCTCAGCGAGTTTACTATTTAGACAGTAGACACTCATAATCACAGTTCACATTTGCAGTACCTGCTGTGCTAAACAAATTGTTTTCTCGTACCTGCTAAAGTGGATTCACTGGATGTGATATTAGTTGTGTTGGAAGTGGCTGAAAAGAGATGAACAGTGGTCAGACTGAATATAACATGAGTGAAGTCGTGCTAACAATTCCAGTAGAGTAGCCCAATGATGTTTGCTTTAGGTCCAATGTAAACCCAACTAGAAAGGCTTATTATTTATTATAATCATAATAATAATCATTAAAATACTTTAGAATATACAGCACAGAAACAGGCCATTAGGCCCAACTGGCCTATGTCGGTGTTTATGCTCCACATGAGCCTCCTCCTGCCCTTCCTCAACTAAGCCTTCGATCATAACTTTCTATTCCTTTCTCCCTCATGTACCTATCCAGCTTCCCCTTAAATACATCTATGCTATTTGCCTCAACGACTCCTTGTGGTAGCATATTCCACATTCCCACTGCTCTCTGTGTGAATAAATTTCTTCTAACTTCCCTATTTGATCTATTTGTGACTATTTGATATTGATGGCCCCTGGTTTGGTCTCCCCCACAAGTGGAAACATCTTCACTGTGTCTACCCTATCAAAACCTTTCATCATTTTAAAGATTTCTATCAGGTCACCCCGTACCCTCCTCTTTTCAAGGGAAAAGGGTCCAAGCATGTTCAGCTTTTCCTGAAAGGTATAACCTCTGAGTTCTGGGATCATCCTTGTGAATCTCCTTTGCACCCTTTCCAGTGCCTCTACATCCCTTCTTTCAGGTGGGGACCAGAACTGCACACAGTATTTTAAGTGTGGTCTCACCAAGGTTCTAAGGAAGTTTACCATAACTTCTCTGGTTTTCATTTCTATCCTTCTAGAAGTGAATCCCAATGCCTGGTTGGCCATTTTTATGGCTTTATTAACCTCGTTGCTACTTTTAGTGAATTGTGGATGTATACCCCAAGTTCCCTTTGCTCCTCTACCCCATTTAGGTTTTTACTTTCCAGGATGTATGTGACTTCCTTATTTCCTCTTCCAAAATGTACCACCTCACACTTTTCTACGTTGAAATCCTTACAATTGGCACTTTCTATTCCTTTCTCCCTCATGTACCTATCCAGCTTCCCCTTAAATACATCTATGCTATTTGCCTCAACGACTCCTTGTGGTAGCATATTCCACATTCCCACTGCTCTCTGTGTGAATATGTTTCTTCTAACTTCCCTATTTGTTCTATTTGTGACTACTTTATAGTGTGTTCATGCCATGAATCCCCTCTCCCTTGTTAGATTGCACCAATAGGAGGTCCAGGGTTCCCACAGTTATAAACTGGCCCATCTCTGGGCAGAGCAGATTGTAATACCTGGCGTGCTGGATGAAGAAAATGTCGTTACTGTGTCAAATTTGTTTCTGGTACCTGCTGAACTGGATGGTGTCGATGCGATATTAGTTGTCCTGGAAGCAGCTGGAAAGAGACAACTAGCGGTCAAATGGAATGAATCTAGTTCATGTCCCCCGCCTCGCTCACCCCACTACTGGCAGGCGGGCCTGCTGCCACTCTGCCCCCACCCTCTGGAACTCCATCCCGCAGTCCCTCTGCCTCGCCCTCTCCCTTTCCTCCTTCAAGACCCATATCAAGACCCTCCTCTTCGACCGTGCTTTCCAATACTCTGCTTCCCCCCTGCCCTCCACCCTCCCGATCCCGACCCCAGGTCAGGTTCGAATCTCTGTCTGTCCAGCCCTTTGGGATGTCCTCCCAACATGAAAGGCACTACACAAATATAATTTTGCTGCTATTGTTATCTGGACAGAACATGACAAGTCATGAGCAGTATATAATACTGTATATAACAATAATAATATACAGCATTAACTTATATTGACCTTGCCTTTGGCCTGACACCTTCTTATACAGTATATTATATACTTATACTAAACCCAGATGGAATTTCTCCCCCAAGGCTGTTTCTGGTATAAATTGTGCTGAATGGAGTTCATGTAAAGGGGATGAACAATGAAAGGAATTGGGAGGAGAAAAGCAGTGATCAAGTCAAATACAACATTACAATGTTATGAAAACATGTCAGCAAACGTTTTATATCTCATTGAGATTTATAATTGCATTCTAACACTGGTATTTTGACCATTGGACTTTCATGATTTTTGAGAAATATGAGTTAAGGGCCAAGGCCACGATGCTTAACAGATGCAGGGTACAAAAGAGTGGGAAAAGACCAAATCAATTAAGGAATAGAAGTGGGGTGGGGGGCAATTTATAGGATTTCCAAAAGTTTTGGAAATACTGAATCCTGCAAATATGTGGATGTCTCTGAACCTCCCAACACTCTGTTTGAACATCGATCTCATTTGGGATTTCTATAAAGTCGGATTGCAGACAAAGAAGGCCCTTAGCCTGGCTGGAGACCATTATTGGAGCAGAACTCCAGATCTTGGCATGAGACGCATCAGGATACGTTCAGGACTAGATAGTTGCAGAACTTTTAACTAATCCTGCCATAAATCCTTAGTAGGTAATAGATAAGCGGAAAAGAGAAAGAAGAAACATCTGACAACTACTTCAGATCACTGGAATATCCTTGTGAGATTGTGTGTTTACAAGAGATGCTGGTTGTGATCGTGTCTGCAGGTATTCAATGAAGATCAACCATCAGTATAGAGGATTCTATCCTTCGTCACATGATAGGAAGAAGGATGATCCTTTGCGTGGCTTGCAGAGACTAACTTGTCTGGTTTTCAATGTGATCAATCGAGAAAACCGAAGTGGGGAAAACGTCTATGGAAGCCCCAACAGGATATGTGAGAGTTGGCAGTGTTACTACCCCAGGCAATTGATGATCTGCCTTGTCTACGGTTTCTTCATTAAATTCTTCATTAAAAACAACACATAGATTTCCAAATACCTGTTGTGTTCAAGACTGCAGATGTATTATCATGTAAACCAGTAGCTGAAAGCATAGAGGTCAATAAGTCAGATACAGATTTAAACAGTGCTAATAGTGACAACAAACTGAAATCACTAGGATAAAATATTTAGCCTGTACTATATTCCTAGTGCTTCACATGAATACTTTGATGTGCCTATAAAATACAATTTTAGCACATTGCATAAAAGTCACACTAAAATATTTTCCCTACTTCCGCTTTGAAGTACGGGAAGAAGCAAGAACTTTGCAAGGCCTGATGTATCATTGTCAGGACTCATTTACTTCTACCTTCTAAGTCCTGCTGCCCAGTTTGGCATGTGTGTGTGTGTATGTGTATTGGGGGGAGGGCGAATATATGAAGACTTTACACTGCAGAGGGAAGGTCTGTGAGAAACACCTAAAGCATGCTCACACTCACCTTTATGAGGCAACTAACAAAACTCTAGTTGTTTTTCTGGACAGGTATTTCAGGTTGCACCAGAAAGAACCCTTGACGTGGTTAAAGGCGGAGGTGGAGTTTCCTCTTTATAGATCTCAATGTCAGTTCACAGAAGTGTGAGACCTAATCATTAAATGTTTTCTGGAATCCAGGTTGTTTGTTTTACCAGTGGATTCTGGCTAAAAATCAAATGAAAGGTGTTGGCCGCAAGATTAATTTGGGATTGTGCAGTATCACAATGGTAGATTATTTTGTAAAGCCAATGAATATTTCCAGTGTCCTATTAGACAAGTTTAATACATTAGTTTAATGGGGTCCCCATTAAACTGATATAACTGTTGGCTCTTGTAACCTCCACCTAATACTCTCCGGAATTATGTAAGCTCCAAGGAGAGAGAGAGAGAGAGCGCATTCCATTCCAACAAGCTGTCTCTGGGATTTCCACGTGTAGGTGGGTTGCATTGAATTCTCACTTTGGTATGGATACTCTTAAGCATCATGATGGGTTTCCGCATGTGTCAGCCACCCAGCTGACCAAAAAAAAGAGCTACAATACTGATCATGATATAATGTTGTTGAGTATGAGAAAGATTACAAAAACCTCAAGCTGTCAGAATTTTGCATGTCTGGTCTAGTCTGATGAAAGTTCAGTGAGGTAACATATACAGGAAGATCTCAATTACACTTTGCAACAGCAGTGATTTATATTCATCACAAATTGAGTGCTACAAACTCTCACTGGCATAGAGAAACAAATATGGATATGTTTGCGCATTCATTCTTCCTATTCGATCTGATTTGGGCAGGGAAATTGTTCAAACAGATTTCCTTCCTGACTTTTATAGGTCCAGTGTTTTTAGATCGTAAACAGTGGAATCTTTAAAGTAAAATCCAGGATTAAATGAGCAGTGCAGTAGCGTGGACAAAATGTTTAAATAGATTAGCCCCAAATCGCTGACAGATTTCAACAGGATGTTCTGCTTAGATACAGACCTCACTTGTCTCGAGGTGCATGATTAAAAGGAGGTGTGTAAAGATTAAGGGCTGCATATTACAGTTGGTAATAACTGCACTCCTTTGATCTTTGATGCATTTTGTCTGGCCAGGAATAGCGACTGACAGATTAAATGACTTTGTTGCTAGCATTATTGCTGGTGATAATTGATTATTGACAAAGTGAAGGAGTAAGACAACAAGGAGAGGGATTAGAATTAACATTCACAGATGATCAGTGTTGGGTCTCGTGCATGACATATCTTATCAATATTAAGTGTCAAGTTTCTAGGCTCTGGTGAAGACTTTGTAACTAGGGAAGTTATCATTTGAAAGAGTGTTGAAGCTTATGTGAGCACAGAGTTACAGAAAGCTTTTTCAGATTATTACTGACAATGAATCTGAATAACATACATTCTCTCTCGCTTCTGAAATCTATTTATAATAATAAAAAGAAAGGATATATTACCATCACATTCATTGCGTATTCTATCATATTACCTTTATAAAACAAGATAATACCATCTACAACTAGGCACTTGAATGCATAGTACTTTTGGTCTGCTGCAAATTGGCCACAGTTGGAACTGATGGTTTCAAATCCTAGATCTAAGACTATTGGCACTCAGTATTAAGTCCAATCGGAACACCAAATTAGAAGCCTTTTATCCGTCAAGGTATTGTACGTCATTATTAGTTAAAATCTCTTATTCTTGGCATGCTAGATCTATTCAGATCCTGGCAAGAGCTGAAATGGTTAGCAGAATACAGCAGTACTGTAATAGACTGCCAAATTCATTAAGATAGCAGGTGCTATTAAAGTGAGTAATAAAAGGATGGGAATAAAGAATAGTCAACATTAATAAATGGCATGAGTCAGCAGTGAATTCTAAACCTATAACATATATACACAATACACACATACCTATATTATTTCTATACATACATGTATATTTCTATATACACAAATAACTTTTTGATTGGAAATAATTCCTATTCATAATTTCTGTTAATTTACGCCAAAGCTGCATAACTATAATTTTAAGTTATACTACAGTATTGTGAGAATTGTTACAGTAAATGAAGCCTCACTATACATGATTAATTTGCATGTCTAACTTGCAGACTACTAAAGTATCAAACATGAATTACTTGGATATGCAATTTACCAATGCCTGTTTCAGAATATAAATTAGCTGAGTAGTCAACTTCTCCGAACTTTATTTGTGTCTAAGGAATTTACAAATCCTATAAATGTAAAATCCATGCAGCACAGCGGCATATCACTGGATAAAGTCAACAGGACATAACATATAATAACATAACATTGAAACAACAGATTGGACTATATCAGGAGTTGCTGTACTCAATATTAACTCACCTTAAAACTGTTCTATACTGCGTATTTCAGCATACCTCAAAATTAGTTAGACATCATCCTTCACTTCAACTCATCTGAAGTTTGAGTGAAGTTGAGTTCTGCTGCAATTTTAACTTGTTAGAACTGATAATATGATTGCGATGCTAAGGATCTGCATTCTGATTGATCCAGGCACCAGGCAGATCCCAAATTGGACCCCGTAAAATTTCAGATGGTCTGAACCTGAAGCTTCAAATAAATCACCAGCACAGGAACATAGGAACCTCTACTGGACAGCCAGGGACTTTGGATGTAAAGATTTATCATTACGTCAGTTTGCAATTAAATACATGGTCCACTAGCGCACCAAGAAAATAGGATGCAAAGACCATCAAGCAATCAGAAACTTAGCCTATCACAGAAGGTTGATGCACATCTGCAGAGAAGCAACTCACACCTTTGGAAACAACAATTTTTAAAAAATGCATGTGTCAATATTGTTGACATTCACCGTATTTTAACGATTTACAATATGCATTAATAGAATACACACTGGACATAATATAGTCACCAATTGCCAATTGACATCGGATATTTCATTTTCTCAAAGGAGCTCACAATCTTGATGGTTCTTTAATTGATGTTTGGGATCATTTTGCCCTTATAGTAAAGAGTTAGTTTAAGCTATCTCATGCTTGACTTAGCTGACTGTTCTGCAATCCATCAATGAACAGTTTGCTTCACTTCACTCATGGATTTATAATTAGGATGGTTAGAAATTTATGGTGGACTCGTTGGGTTGAATGGCCTGTAACATTTTGTAAGTGCTGTAACATTTTTCATATTTTTATACTTGTCTTTCCTCCCAGTATGAAAGACATTATATAAATGTCTGGTGTATTGTATTTTAACTAGTTGATTGTGCTTTGTGGATTATTTATGAATAACTTGGGACTGACTACTGGGTTTTATGCTCATTACAATATGATTTGAACATGGAAGAAATGCATACATTGTTTAAAAGAGGGATTATTAGATTGCAGTTGTTGGCTTATGATAGTTATGGAGAAAAAAATGATAGGTACATGAAATAAACAGAGATGGATGAGACCAAAAGAACACTGAAGAAACTTCAAACTTATTTTTAAACCTAAACAACAATTTGCACTTATATAGCACCTTTCACACAGTTAAACATCAATTTCATGTGAACCCCCAAATTACTTCAATACTGTTAAATACGTCTTTGAAGTTTGTTAAGTAGTTTATGGAAACTTGCAAATATAATATAACCACTTAAAATCTTTAGTTACTTACCAAGCAAATGTCTTGACTTCCTTGATCTGTAGTTTTCATACTCTGCTATTCAACATCAATGAGTATCAGAAGTATTTGTGAGCTAGATTAAACATGATCTCCCATATTTTTCAGCTAATCTTCTCAAACACCTCTTGTAACAAAAGATGTCTCTTAGACATCTCCTGAGATTTTATGAAAGTGAACCTTTTAACTGTAATTACTGCCATAGCAATACAATGGGCTGTTCGTCCAAACATATTATGCAAACAAATGCTGTGCAGGTAAATGCAGCATTGTTTGATAAAGTTCACCATTGTCAAGCAAATTAGAACTATTTATTGGTCAGACATTGAGCAATATGAGCAAAATATTTGACCAAACTTTGTAATTTCTGTGCAAGGGCATTAATAACATTAGATATATTACTGTGTTGTCTTGTTCTGCATCACCAATGTGGTAAAAATGACCCACACACCTTCCTTCGCCTTCTTCCCAAGATACATGGGAAAAAAAATAACTCTTCCGAACTGCCTGACACTGGTGCACCAGCCAGGCCTGCACCAACTAAACTTCTGCGTCCCATCCTTATAATTAAATTAAACAGAATATTGTTCCATAATGGAAAGAATAAAGATGCTTGAATCCATAACTGCTGATTCCCTATCTTCTATCTACCCACAGTAATCACATTGAATTAGAGCATTCCTTAGATCTGTTTTATTCCAAGAAGCATTTTGTTTCACCAGACTCTTTCACATGCACTTCCAAGAAAACCATTTACAGAAATTTTAAAAACCATACCAAAACCAAAACAAAATGCCCGAGTCCCGAGGGATAGCAGCAAAGGATTTAACCAACATTATCTACTTCACCCTTAGTAGCTCCAAGCCAAGGCATGCACAGGTACTTGCCAGTTAGGAATACAACAGCAACAACTTGCATTCATATAACGCCCTTCACGCAGAGTAGTGTCCCAGAGAGGTTGACATGGCGAGTCTAACTCCGAGCCAGGGGGAGAGGGAGGGTGGAGGTGACCATAAGCACGATCAAAAAGGAAGGTCTTTAGGTGGGATTCAGGGCGTAGTGGCTGAAGGCACGGCCACCGATGGTGGAGTGGAGAGAACGAGGGACAAACAGGAGGCGGAGGCAGAGGGTGGGGGAGTGGGGGGCTAAGCAAATCGGATATATAAGGATCTCACACTTGTTATTTATCTGGTTCACAAATAAGAGGCTGTATAATGGATCCAGACATTGTCAAGAGCCTGGACTTGGAACCACTTCCCCCAAAAGACACCATCCAGAAATGGTAAAGTGATGTACTCTCAACACCTCTAAAAGAAGACCCTTAAAAGATTTTCTGCAAAGCTTGGTTATTTGTGGTTCTGATACTGTAAAATACTATGTTGGGGTTTAATTTGTGGTATTTCTTGAAGGGATTCAATTCATCAATCAGTGGGCTTCCCTAAATGGAGTGAGTTTCTGCAAGCAGAAAGTACGTATTTCACTCCAGACACCGAGAAATTCCCATGCATAAGTGGAACTTTGGTTTGGATACTCTTAAGCATGGTGATGGATTTCCACATTTTGTCAGCCCGGCTGACCAAAACACATTGTGAAATCTCCACTCCAGGTCAGCGTGACAGATCAGCATGACTTACTTTCAGTTACTGAAAGATGTTCCCATTTTTACAACTCAATTTGTTTATTAAGGCATCCCATTTAGAAATACTACAAATTGGACTAAAGTATCTTCCTTTAACTTAACCTTTTCTAATATGCTGATGCTACAACGTGTTATTTTACTTATTGCATTGATTTTATTTTAATAAGTTAAAGCTACTTGAATGATAAAGATGGATTTAAATGTATTAGTGAGTTATAAATAATGTCTTATGGGGTTGGATTTCATTAGGATTTGAGCTTTTCAGCATTTTAAAATGCTAATGAGCCTGCAGTTCAGATTTCCCAGACATTCATGTCTCACTCCACCCAGGGTACAAAATATGGATGTCTGATAAAAATGCCACATGATAAGCAAATACTGAAAGAGATTCAAGAGATTTATAATATAATAATAATAATAATCCTTGCATTTGATATAGCGCTTTTCACGTCGGAAGGACGTCCCAAAGCGCTTCACAGAACACACTGTAAAGTTAATTGACTGTATATTTGTGGGTGAACGCGGCAGCCAATTGCGCACAGCAATGTCCCACAAACAGTCGTAGATTGAAAATGACCAATTTTTATTATTGTTTTTGGTTTTGGAGGGATTATTATTAGGCTCTGTGTGGAGTAAGGAAACTTGCCCAAGGTTTCGCCCTGCCTGGAATTGAACTCAGGTCTCTCGCTTGCAAAGTGAGTGCTCTAACCACTGAGCTACAGGACTCCACGATTTGTCTGTCACATGTGCCAACAAGTTAAAGCTATATATCCTCCACTCTCTATCTTGTGCTATATGTTATCCCTCAGAAGTGACACACATGGATCTAAAGCCTGAATTGTGACAAATAGCTAATTTATGATTCCAACAATCGTGCTGTGTGAGATCCTCCATCTACTAAACCGCAGCTTTCTCCTGTCTGACTTTTCTAAATGTACCTGTTCCCAAATGTACCAATGTACTGTGAAATTAAAGTAGGAACGCATCTTTGCATAAGATCTTCAGAAGTATATAAGAAAAGCTTTAGCAAAGTGACCAGGAAAAGTACCTCAAGGAAACCAAGAGTATATGAATCACTTTCATTCTTACCTGAATGGTTAAAATTAACTTTGATAAGCTCATGACCTAAAAGATTAGAATTTATCAATGAATTGCTTGTTCTGGACAGAGGCCACTCAAATCCTTAGAAGGAGGCAAATGCTTTTTACCTGTAATGTGTGAGATCTAATCAGGGAGCTTTATTGGCAATATTTCAAGCTCAGCATTGAGAAACTTTGCAAACATACTTAATTGTTAGAAATATGATACTTTGGGGGTAATTAATTGAAAGAATGAACCTACTATTCCTGTGGAAATATTAAATAACGATAAACAACCATAGGCCTCCATGAGTCTATACCATACAAACGGGTACATTCACCAGGCCTGAATCCTCACACCAAGGAATTGATCTTTGATCTGCAGCTTCGATTTTAATTCTCAGTTGATTGTCAGCATTTTAAGCCAATCATGTTTAAAGTAGATAGTCTGAAGTCTTCTTAATGACTGGAACAGATTGCAGTAGAAAAAGCTTGAAATGAGGGGAAATTTGATGGATCTGGAATAAACGCTTAGTAAGTCAGTAAAATACATTTCGATGATTTTTCGAAAGGGGTTCTAATGTACAGCAATTTATAACAAGATTCCGTGATAATAATCTAAGTAAAAATTCCTTTTGGTATAGAGAAATACGCCATGCAGTGCCTTGGTATCTCCTCTCTGAAAGTGGATCATGTCGGAGTGGCATTCCTGTGGGTCAGTATGAGGTAGTTCATTGTTAAGGAATTCAGTTAGAAATCACTGCACTTAAGATCATGATGGGAATGAACGACCGATATGCAGTAATGTAGTATGTAGATCGCTCCACAAATCAGTCTGATCACAATAATTACAAGTGACGATGTCATAACTGAAGGCACGGCCAGACAGCTATTGCTGATGGATGTCAAGTGCTCCAGCAGTTCACTTGTGATCCAAATGCTTGTGATCCAGCGCCTTGGGACGTCCTCCCGACGTGAAAGGTGCTATACAAATGTAATCTTGTTGTTGATGTGTTTTCAATTAGAAATAAGGCATATTTTAATGATTAGTCATGTGGCTTTTGAAGCTCATAAATCCCAATACTGCTTGGTGCTACTGCTTTATCAATGCAGTGTGTAAGAAATAGGATTATTTTTAGTTGCATACCAGAGTAATAAAATATTTGGTGTACAGTCAGTGTGATTGAGTGATATTTGGTGTGCAGTCAATGGGATTGAGTGATATTTGGTGTGCAGTCAATCTGCAATACTTACAACAAGGCAGTAAGTAGTCGTACTCCAAGTCTAAGCCCATGAAGTCCCACTGTTGGCTGTTCCAGCTAATAATGTTGCCATCTTCACATCCGAGATTTAATATCTGGTGCCTTTTTATGTAATTCCACAGATTGAACATGTATAATTCCCCCACAAACGCCATATCCAGGTCCACTTGCAGCCGGTCAGGTCTCCGCTTATGACTCTGACCAAGTAGCAGGCTCCCATTTGGGAAGAGTTTGTAATCCTGCACTAGGAATTTGGTATGTATCTGCGTCTTATTCACGTAGATATTTGCTTTATGGTGAGCACTGTGCCACGTCAAACATAAATAATGCCAGTTATGTAAGGAGAGCACGTAGTCCAACTCGATTTCTGTGCCGAACAGCCAAATTATCAGACTGCTGTCCTTGATCATGATCCCAAGCTCGTGGTTGCGTGAGAAACGTGAATAAAGCTTCCTATCGGTGTTGTAGGTAAACACCGTCATACCGTTCTCAATAATCTCAGTTGGTCTGACATAAATGCACAGTGTGAAATTGTCAAGTGCAGGGATGCTTGTTCCTGGTGACAATGTTCCATATTTACCGATTGCAGCAGGACGGAAAAGTGCTTTTTGATCTTTGAGTGAGGCACATGTTGCTAAAGAAATGGGAATGCAAATACAAATCAATTTAACATGAACATTATCATCAATACCATTGATGCCAAGAAGCAGTTCAAAGTATAAAACATGCAAAATCAATCGTGCCTTGAGCAACTGACTGACTATTACTGTGTTGCCATGTTAATTATTGTCATAGAACAGTGCTTTTCTCCACCCCAACCCCCATGGATCAATTGGCACAGCCATTGCATGGAGTGAGCTTGAACCATAAAGGTTTCTGGTTCAATGCCTGCTTGGGTGAGTAGTTACCAAATCTCACCGAAAAGAAACACAATAATTGGCCTCAAAATTAAAAAAAAGGGGTTTTATTCACTCCTGGGTTCTGTCGACAAATATATTTGAATTTCAAAACCTCCCAAAGTCGAGAGTGCACATTAAGCAGGGTGAACAGAGGCTGACAGACTGGGAAGGAAATCAAATAACATCCACAGCAAAGCCTCAAATGGCTATTGCTGTAACCATCAATACGGTTAACATGGACAGTGAATCGCACTTGTTTTGACCAAACATGTACACACTTCATTTTGCTTCCACATTTTGTTTGTTGGCTTTCGTCTACAAAATACAGTCACTATACTTTACAATAAATCCCATGATGCACTTTGAGATGCCCTCCTGACCTGAATGGCATAATATCTAATGCAATGATAATTATGTCAACTTGTAGAGTTCTAACCCAATCTTTTCTTGATTCCTATTGTGAAGGTAGCATCTGCTGTGGTAAATTCCTTATGGACATTGTTATATATGAGCATAGAAGAGTGTCAACAGGCTTTTCAACCATGAGCACATCTCAGGACATCCTGTTTCTGCTCTTGTCTCAGTTAAACATGTCCTTGCAGTTTCAACATCTAATTTGTGCAAGTAGGCCACAGGCCAGGTGACAACAGAAAAGTCACAAACTACTGCACAGGCCTTCCCTAAAGGTATTCATTCTATTCTGGCCACTTTATTTATTCTCATTGTGATGAAACTATGGCAACTACCTGTTTTAGCTCTTTGATTGACAGGTAATTGCTACTTTTTAAAGGGTGTGGTTGTAAGGTTGAAATAACTCAGCTGTAATTTACAAAGATTCATTCCAACCCATATTATGCTGCCTCACGCAAGAGACTGACTACCCACCACGTAAATCTAGGTGTTTATCACTCAAGATAGATGAGTATATTTATAGATGTGCTAATGTCATAGGTAACAGACAGATTGTATATAGTTGAAGCATCATTTCCTCTATAAGACCATCATATGACAAATTCTTAATTATGTTAAAGGCAACATCTTCAAGAAAAATGTTTTGCAAACTAGTTTTCATTTGTTTATTGCGGCATAACAATGTACATGGCATTTAAATACGTCATCATAATATGGCATGACGAGATGTAATTGTCAGACAAACATGACACACTGTTCTGCAAAGAAAAGGGCTTGATGAACATTTTTGCACTTGAAGACGATCCCCCTTTAAGCTCAATGCTGACATACCATAATATGAATGATTGATGGTGGAGTGGGTCAGAAAAAAATCTGATTTAAGGTGGCTTCCCCCAAGAGGCACTGAAATATTATAGTCAGCAACTCCAATGCTTCAGCCCCAACCTGAATCATTTATTTATTATTATACAGTGTTTTGAATAATAATAAATACATTATCCTTGGGTTTGATATTGCACCTATCATGTTAAAATGTTTCAAACTATATCATTGAATTACTATTAAGTATAGTGATGTTCTTTTTGTTATAAATATGGCACTCAATTTGCACACAGCAAGGTTCCACAAATAGCCATGTAGTGAATGATCAATCTATCTGATGGATTGTTGGCCAGTTTACCATGAGAAACTCCTTTCTCTTTCCAAATAGTGTCGCTAGATCTTTATGGTTCACCTGAAGAATGCAGATGGGATCTCTGTTTAAAGTCTCATCCATAGGATGGCATCTGTAACAATGTAGGGATTTACCCAGTGCTGCCCTCGACTGTCAACATGACTATGAGGTCCAGACAGAATGTGGAATTTGGACCACTCTGATCCAGGTGAGAGTGCTACCAACTGGGTCAAGCTGACACCTGAAAGTCATGTTGGGGGAGGGAGAATATTATACCCATGGGCACATGATAATTCTATTCTTACAAATGTATCTTTTCAACTGCATGATTATCATATCATACTTCACAATTGTCACCCTATAGTCTGGATTGAGTTACCTGATCTCAACGAGGGTAGCAGTTTGAGTATTAGCCTTGATCTCCCAGGGTTGGGGATGAGAAGATAAATCAGATATTATCTAGACTGTATGACTCTCCTGTGATCGAATAACGTGTCAATACTTGCTGTCTAGATCACACAGGAAATATAGGCGAGGGTCCAAAAGGCTACCAGGGCCCATGTAACCATTCCCCAATTAGAAGGGAAACAAGTCAGTCAAAATACCTTCACTAGCAGAAGAACAGGTCAGAAGATTAGGAGAAGCATTGGTTAGAGGAGAAAAGCTAGTGACAGATCCTGCTTCGTAGAAGGGCACAATTCACAGGGATTGTAAAGCATCATATGGAACACAGGTAAAAAAACAGTAGTACCCTGAGATTTTAAATCCAGAACCTCTGACTGAGAGGTGAGGGCGCTACCAACTGAGTCAGGCTGTCATCTTGAAATATGAGGTTCTCGCACTGTGGCTAAGTGTAAGAATCACAAGTAAAGTAGAAAGCTAATCATCACTTCTTAGTCAATAGTTTTCGGCAAGTATGTGTTAGTTCCAAGCGTTCTGGGATGCTACCCTGCATGAGAGGCACTATATAAAGTTGTTTTTATTGTCAGTTCTGAGGGGTACAGAATAGCAAAGAATGGAGGGTATGTAATTGTATTTCATAATTGGTCTGCTAAGCTGCAATAATTACGTGCTCTTGGCCAACCTATTATTTCATAAATTATATTCATTTAAATTTCAATCTTTTGCAGGTTTCCTGATTACTTTGTTCTCTTCCCACTGTAAAGTTTTACCTTTCATGATTTAGCATCTAAATTGAAATCAGCTCTCTGGGACACCCTCCCGATGTGAAAGGCGCTCTATAAATGTAATTTTGTTGTTGTTGTTGTAATCACTCCCCCATTATGCCATTCGCAAGTAGGTGGGTACAAGATGTAGGCATATCAGTTAATGACTCTGCATTGAATGGATGACTCACAGCACTGAGCTAATGCAAATAAACCTATGCTCTAGAGTTTAGTGCTTAATGAGTATTCCAAGCATTGTTCACGACCAAAGTTTAGTTCAACTTCTTTTGGATCAGTAGAAGGCGGGATTAAAATACAAATAGTTTTAGGTCTTCATCACTCTACTTCTCATACCTCTCGATCAATTTCTTCTCCAAATACCTATCTAATTCCCTCTTCAATTTGCTGACACCCAAAGAACCATTTCAAATCTCTTGTATCACATATTCTACACAACTCATTTTATCACCTGAGCAAAAATTCTGGTAAGTTTCTCTAAGGAAAAACAAGCAACCTTTGATTGCCTGTGTGAGATTGTGTCCTAAGTTATTGATTTTGATCTAAAATGCTGTACACTGTCCAGCACCTTGAGGTGTCCTCCCAACGTGAAAGGTGCTATACAAATGTAATCTTGTTGTTGTTATTGTATGTGTTTCCCACATCTTCCCAAATATCACAAGTTCATGGTTACAACAGCTCATAAAACCTCTTGTTCCACAGCTCATGGAATTATTTCTAGTTGTGTGTTTTCTTAAGATTTGTCAATCCTGTCAATAACCACATTTATAACCAGTCCCCAAACTGCATTCCAACCACTTGGTGATGGACAAACAATGGTCTCTGAATACGGTAAATATTCCATAAAACCTTGCATAGTTTAAAGAGAGTGCAGGAGTTTCCACATCCCATAGTTGAGAGCATATTGTTCTTTATTTGCCAGCAATGTACTAGTACATCATCGTGGCTATTTATCTCAATGTTTAAAAATCACGTCGGAACCGTTTCACGTTGGGAGACATCCAAATGCAGTGTTGTTGCATCTGTGTGCTGTTAGTCACAGGAACCTATATGCCCGGTCATATTGAATAGATATTTTTGATGGTTCACTTTCACACCAAAAATAATATTAGTGGTTCAGGCAGACACCAGTACTGGAGGAATAGACCTGATGCCATTGATTCTTACCTGTTTGCACAGTAACAAGAGTGAAGAGGAGAACTGCAATGAAGAAGGAAATTCGAACTTTAAAAATCACCCAGCAAATTGAGCTGTAGCTCCGTGCTGCACAGGAAATCATTCTGCAAAGGACAAATCAATACAAACTGTAACATACCGACTGAAGTGAATAACCTTGGAATCTACTGACTTAAAACCTCAGCTTAGTTAAGAAAGAATGAGAAGGAATGTTCATTTTTATAGTGTCTTTTCACATTGAAACACCTGAAAGCATTTTGCAGATAATTACTGTCAAGTTTACATACAAAATGCATTCTCTACACTTTATAGTAAATCCTGTGAAGCGCTTTGAGACGTCTTCACGATGTGATAAAGTGTTATGTTAAAGGCAAGGATTATTATTAAGTGTAGTAACTCTTCTGTTTTACTATCACTCTCATCTTTTATAATAATAATAATACAAACAGGATAATCAACTGTAACTATATATGTAACTAATATTATCATAAAAAATCAAATAGATTGTATATGTAATATTATTGATGTGGCTATCCCAAGACATTACAATGTGAAAAATAAGAACTAGAGAAAATCAGGAAATATATTGATCTACAAATTGAATGCGGACATATATGGCAAAGTAAAACAAACATAGC